GAAATTATTGGAAATGCCGATATTTGACTTACGAAGCAGTTTTGCTTTGAAATGTTACAAAATTGCCTCATGCTGAGCAAAACCCGAAACCAGAGCCTGATTTGACTGCACGCGGTTAGATTGAAGATACCACGAAGATGGCACGTAGCTCATTAAGTGCGGTCATGCTGGCTGGAGCTTCTTGTATACATAGGTACTGTATTAAGTTAAGGAGCAGTCCTAGATTCATGTCATACAATCGATCCATAATAAAATCACACGAAACGTAAAGCGTTAAGAATGAAGTAATTTAAAACTAACTAATGCATCACCTGCCTTTGGTGCTTAGCGGGCATCGTACCCGCTTCTGTGACATATACGTGGCAAGCCGGCTTACTTCCGTCCTCCGAAAAGGCGTCTCAATTAGTAGCCTGTGCGAAAAATGTGATGCCACACAAATTTGACATTAATTTCCTTTTAATATGCTACTAGATCCAAAACCACATCTAAGCATGTGACTATGCCCATTGCACATTCAAATAATGCAAAAATGCGCACACAACTTCCCCTACTTGATCTGAGTATGGGGCCATCGGAAGATTGCGTTACGCATGGTAGTGTGGAGAGTTCTGATGAGGCGTAACCGGAACGTAAGAAGGAGAGGTGGGTCTTGTACAGCGTAGTGTTGCGATCTACTGTAACTGCAAATCGTGCTAGGCCTTGTAAAACATGTTTAAAACTTTAACGCCGATAGCGCTCGCTTCATCCCATGACGAGCAGCACGCCCGTTTTATTGCTTTTTCTTCTTCTCGCCCCTGCTGAAAAAAAAACAGTGAAACGAACGTAACCTTTCTGGGACGTTACTCTAAACACCGATGGGCGTTGCAGCTGGATGAAGAGTCACACAGCGTTACCGGCGCGTACTCAGGGGAGTGGGGGTTGATGATAATTTGGCATTCGGGGCGCGACAACGGCTACGGTCATCTCGTACCCAGAATAAGGGAGGGGGGGGGGGGGGTGCTGACCAGAGGTAGCCAAAATGCATAATGTAATTGCTGGACGACTCATCAATACTGGTACATGAAAGCAGTGAATAGAAACGTAGCCTCCGATAAAAGCTCACGTAACACATTTTGCTGCGATAGGATATTACCGTTTAAATGTGCGCAAATTTCATGCGTTCCAATATAAACGTTTGTTTGCACAAGCATTCCAATGCAACCATACATCGGGATACTGTTAGACTGACGTTTTCCGTTTCAGATACATGCTTGGCGGCATCGCTAAACTTCACTACCCTTCTGATCCATCAAAATAAACCGCTGTGGCGAGAAATCACGTCCGTAGCAATACCGACCCATCCCATTCTGAGTGTTGCAGACAGACCCGGAAGCGCGACCACTTAAAAAACCGGAAGATGAATCGCCGGATTCTCGTACATTGCTAGTGCAAGGGCGGCGCCGGAATTTAACCATGGTCCGGTCTCCGCGCTGGAGGCGCCTCGGAAACCGAGATTGCTCTATCTGCAACCAAGACCACGACATCCCGCGTGCGAAGATGCAGCGAGCATGACCGCATTGGGCGGCCCCCAACTGGGCATCCCCTGCTTCCGGGCGAGCCGGAAGTTGGCAAAATGCTTTGATGTCACAAACAATTTTCAGAACGTTCCGCCTCTACAAAATGGCATTTACATCTTGCCCACCATGGATTGGTACATCTATTGCCGTTTGGAAATGTTTGGTCCCTGGGTACCATGTAACCTCAAGGCCACAAATGACGTTAAAATTAACTTGGTGTTGGAACATTTTAACGTTCCCTATCATCTGTTATTCGTGGGTTAATAACCTCTATGACGCACAAGTTAATTTCCCCAAGAATACCTTGGGTAATGCCAGTCAAACGCTAGAGGCAGGTTAAATCCCACCTTTGATAGATGACCACGTGCTGTCACACATGTTAGATGACTGAAATCAGGATATCACGTATCACGAGCAGGGGCATAACTTCGCGAAGTGAGTGGGGCGGGGGGAGTGAAAAATGACGAAACCCGCCTCCACCATGTATCAACAAAGGGGTTTGTCCTGGATTTGGCTACCTTTTTCTAAAGATTGGGGCTGGAGCGCCCTTTCCACCCACCTGGAAGAGAATCTATGCTCCTGAACGCGAGCATTACCGAACCGCATATCATGTCACTGTGCAGGCTGGAAATTCAGCTGAGCATGCCAGTCATGCAAGGCCAAAGGCATGTCTGGTAAAAGCTCTCAAATACCCCCACCAGTGATTTTGGCTTATAGACTGCACAAAATGCCAGGTCAATGGTACCCACAAATACCATGTATTTGGAGTACATTCATGTCCAGACTCCAGACATACAAATATGCCAACTCCCTTCTAAAAATGAGCAGCGACAATCTAACATAAAACTGCCTTATGCGTGCCTGGTCAATTCACCTGATTTGCATGTCATGAAGATATGTAAGGGAACTAAACAGGCAGCATAGGCAATGCTGCCTGTGGCACCTAAGCAATGCTACCACACAGCACACAATTGACCAAGATGACCTTATAGAGTAGGTTGTACATAAGCATGTACCTGGGGCTCAATATGTTTTGCGCATTGCCTTTACACAGCTTGAACACAAATGCAGCATACACAACTACCAACCTATGACGGCCCAGCATGTAGTCAACATTACTTGCCTGGGTCCCATATGACACCACAATATATTTGAGTCAATTGCCATGAGCCAGTCATTACACACAAAGCAATGCCAAGTAAATGAACAGCCTCAAATTCTGTAAAATTAATACCTGTCATCGTTCTTAAAGTGTCATCCTAACATGACCTACAGTTGTTACAGGCCACACATTTGGCACAGGACATGACCCTGGTGCATCTAATGATACCATATAAGTTGTTCTTACAGTACCTCACAGACTAAGCCTAATCAACCTATATACAAGCCAAAGACCAGACCCCCAGTCACATGACAGAAATAAAGCTGACCATGACTAAGAGTTCAAGGAAAGCACTTGACTTACACCAATCTCAGCTGCACTTTTGCAAATCACATCACATTCTCTCAATAAACTTCTGTCAAGTCCAGGTCAAGGTCATGTTAATATATGACCTTCAGTGAGGGAAGCAATAACATATACAGTACCATCACCACTCTAATATCTTGCTGACAGTCACTTGATTGTGTTGAGTGAGATATTACTACTTGGGCATTTGTGACATGGTGAGTGTCACAACATTACTTTAACTGATCAGTAGCATTAGTAATGACTTCTTAATAATAAGTTATTTATGGAATCACTGTTATTAACAAGGATGACAAGCAAAACCAAATGAGGCATTTAAATTCTGACACATTTGAATTCATTTGATGTTGAAAATATTGGCCAAGGGCCACAGATTTCACCAAATATTGCTCCCTTTAATGATCGTGCACCACAAATTTCATTGAAGGAGAGACATGACCTGCATCCATCCCACTGCATGTAATTCTCAGGCACTCCATTGTGCTTGCTAAGATCTATACTCCAAAGTATGTTTAAAGACATGGCACACATTCACACTGCTAACTGAATGAGAACCAAGCTGTGGCTACAGTTATGTAGTGATAAGTCATACTGACCTCTCAGCAATAATATTTGAGTTAAATTATTTAAACATGTTGCACAATTCTTCACCAGAATCTGATGCTTTCCAGGCACAACACATTGAGCTACAAATAACAACACAAGGTACCTAGTGCAAGTATAGCAGACCATCCAGTGTGCAATGATTGATGTTGTATTATCCAGTGCACATTGATTGATACATCATTGCACAAGCCCAGTACATGGACATCTCAGATCTACAGCATTTAGGGCTCAAAGTGATGGATGTAAAAATGGCTAGCCAATCAAAAATTTGAAGAAATCAAATATGGGACTATATGTCACAGAGGTAAATAACAAATAGTGGCATGCATTTGAAATGCTATATGCTGTTGTCTGATACAGCACCAACTACCAAGGCAGGGGAAATTAATTACCGAGCAGGACAAAATTTCACAAACACGGCAGGCATCATGAACTTTTTGTTATTTTTAGTCTACCTTCTATAATACAACGTAACAATAAATGTCCCAACAGGGCCTTACCTATCTGAGCCGGGAAGGTTCTGCCCCATCTCTTCAATTGATTCTTGATTTCTTTTCCCTCATTAACACATGATCCTTTACAGTCCTCCATATATGATATGCTGCGATATGATATGCCCACCTCCACGCTATTCAGCAGCCCCAAGTTATGACTAACCCGGCCCGGCTGGACCGGGAGCCGCTTCCCCCTCCACCCTCACCCGACCGCGATTTCGCGGAAATTTTAGCCATCGACCTCCGGATTTGTCACAGGTGAGTCACATTGCGTTGAAGACTCCATGCTGTGGACATCTAGCGGCAGGAACTACAATTTCTAGTACGATCCAAACATTTTGAAGATGCTGCCACCTGTCCTGTTACTTATGTCCATGGTCAGCAAACAAGTATACATTGGTAAGACCAGAATACCTGATACGAAGGCGAACAATTCATATTTTTTCCATCACAAAAAACCAGTTCGCGCATCGCTTAAGACTGTGTCGTTATCCACAATTGCTTAGGGGAAACGAATGCTAAACATTTCTCCGGGCCAGTCCAACAACCTCGCGCGTTGTGTCCTGACTCAACGTTCGGCTACATGGTTTGAACATCGGTCATTACCACCAGATTTTCGAATTTCATGGAAAATGCTTTATTAAACTTCGATATGAATGGACCAATTCGATATCCCTTGGACCTTCATCAGAATGGTCTGCATCCTTACCAATGCCATCAATGTCTACCAGTGACGCGCTGCATCCCGACCCGCACTGAAGCGTCAGCGCCGGCTGGATCGAGCTATTACGGCAGTATCTGAGAAGCATGAGGACTACTGCTGTGGCCTCTTGTATCATGTCACCCTTTACTCGCGACAGAGCAGGCAACGTTTCAAACACGCATATATTCATACACATACAATGTTCATCCCTCACAGAAAGGTAGGTGCATTAACAAAGTAACAAGCCCCTCACGCTGTTGGCAGAACTGGAAATATGTAAGCACCACAAGGTGGTTCTTCAAGCACTCAGTACATAAAAGTAAAGCACAACAACCATCCCTCATACTGCTGCAAAGCACGGAGACGGGTGCGGCTGGATCATGCTCAAGAAAATTCATAGCGCGGCAATTCACCGCCTTGCTGATATCTGGCTGCCGACGGCTATGTCCTCCTGGTCGCTGGGCGTCTGCGTCCCCCGCTCCTGGCCGGGCCGACTATAGCTGCGGCGGTCGCTGGGGTGCCGTCATCACCAGGCCCGGGTCGTCGTCATCTAGCGCCTCGCGAAGAAGCGAAGCGTCCGTGTGCAGGTCTGCGGGCCCGACCGGATCGACCTCGGCCGCCGACGGCGCATGGTTCCCCTCCGGAGCCGCCTCACCAGCCGGCTCAGACGGCTCGGAAGTTAGCGGCGTGACCTCGGGCGCCTCCTCAGGAGCGCCAGAAGCCGCAGGCAGAACCCCTCCGTCGGCAGGTCGAGCCGCCGCTTCCCCCTCAGCGGCGCCGTCTGCGGGGGGCGTGACCTCGGCGCCGCTCCCGTGTCCCGCGGCGCCGACGCCGGCCGCCTGCTCGTGACCGCCTGGCGGGGACTGGGCGCTCGGCCCAGCTGTGTGCGCCGCTTCGGCTGGGTCTGCCGCCGACTCCAGCGCCGCGCTGGACGCGGCGGCCCCTGCGTCGGCAGGCGCTGGGACGGCAGGCGCCGGGACGGTGGGCGCGGCGGCCGACGCCGCGGTCGCCGGGACCTCGGCTGGCTCCGACAGGAACTCCTGCAGCGGCCCGACCAGCACCGGCACATCCAGAGAGCCGATGCCCTGCCGACAAGGACCGCGCGCAGGTCACGCACCCTGCCGACCCGTCCGGCGGCCAGTGACAAGGCCCGCGGCGGGCGCGGGATGGCACCCTTTGCGCGTGCGAATCAGGCTTCATGTAACCAGAGGCGAAAAAAGCCGCACATTTTAGTAGCTGGGTTATTCTACAATATATCAACCGGCATCCAATACCCTGCATCTCAGATTTGGATGAAAATTACTTCGCTAGGTCATCTGATGCGCAGAATCCAGCGGTGTAATTTTCGGCTCGATCCACAGCATAGGCACTGAGCAAAATCCTCCAGCATTTTTGATACATCACTGCAAAAGTAGCTTTGTTGACCGATAACTCATATCTAAATAATCGGATGAATCAAAATCAGATATTGATTAACTTGAAATAATGTAATACATATTTTGGGCATCTCAGATTTTCTATATTTTGTAATTTTGGGCTTGTAGTCTCGTCACCCCAAATCCTGTGACCTAGGGCGACCTAAGGGCAGTAAAAACGTCCAATGTTTTCCCCTAAATGGTAAATGGACATGAAAAAGTGACTGTTATGAAAACAATGCGCGGATGGATGTCTTCTAAATCTTGCATTTTGCGGGCATTACTGTGACCCGGTTTTTCACTTTTGGTCGCGAAGTCCTGGCGGTTGACGTGCCAATCCACAGAAAATAACGTGACATGGGGATCATAACCGATTGGATGATACAACAGGAATGATAACCGATTGGAACAGTGCGTGAACAGCAGGTCTCCTCGATTCCAGCTTGGTCATTCACATGGCATCAGACCATGGCTTATACGGAGATGCGTGTTTCTGACAAACAGGCGGCACGCTGTGTGAACTAAAAACTGCGGCCCATAATTCGTTTAGCCTTTCCGAATCCACTCTGTGACTGATGGTTTAATGCTTGCACATGTTTCCGTCACGCTAAAATAAAATGCTGTGAATCTTGGAAGATACACACGATGAACGTGTGACGCAAGGCGGCATGCCGCGGGCGGGGAGGGGGAGGGCGAACGCGTGACGCAGTGTGGGATGCCACGGGCGGGGGGGGGGGGGGGGGGCGGTGCCCCACGCATCCCTTTGTTCCCGCGCTGATGCGCTGGTCGGTGGATTTGATGGCCACGGTCTGTGGGTGAATGCAGTGATCATAAGAGCCAAAATGTACTGTCCCAGACCCATTCAAGCGTCAAAAGACCGGGATATGGCGCGACGTAAGAGCAGCATCGACTGCACTAAACGAAGCAGTGAGCGATGCGCGAATAAGCAAAGGCACACCACTGCGTTTGACGTGTAGGTTGAAGTTAACGAAGCAGCCATACAGTTCCCATTCAGAGGAGACGGCCAAGGCAGTAACGGCGTCCAGCTCTAGCCAAAACACCAGTGTCGATGATGAAGAGTATCATGACTCTGATCTCGAGACAGCCGATGCCGTCAAGAATGTTTTGCAAGGTACGTAAGAAGCGCCCGTGCGGTCAAGTAAGTTCCATTAGAGCTACAGGTCAAGTTTCAAGCTACATATTTACATTACGCAAATAATTGCATGACATGGTTCTGCAACATTCATCGCAGATTTCCGGGGGCCATACCACGGGTGCAGCATGCTTCAAAGGAATTTGAGGTTAACCGGTCATTTATTTCCACTTACGTTTCAGCGAAGTATAGAATCCTTAAACGCCTTGGGTAGAATATGGAGAATGCGTGCCCTGCTCGTCCACCGTCTAGCCCAGCTTACCACCGAGTGGCCAAAGAGGCTGTCGAAGAAAACAGGTTTGCTACGCCCCGCTTAAGCCGGTTTTATTTAGTGTCCGAATTACTCGTTGCACAGGATTGTCTGCGCCTCAAAAAACGAGCCAGAGGGGCTGACAAGCTTAAAAAGCATCGCATTCGTTAAACCTGAAACCTTCCCAAACGCTTGATACAGACATCTCACCGCCAGGTGCCTCTCCCGCCAAAAAGGGCAAAGACAAGATGAGGATCACGATTTGGCAAGGTTTGTTTCTAATCTGTCGTGAATGCAACACGTTTGAATAAAACAGGAAAGGTAACGCTAGTTAGCCAACATGTTTCAGCTCTTGGCAACCCATCATTGTCATCAAGGCTCTTGGACCCGACGCATTAAAAACACGTATTCGACATACCAATTCACAAAATGTTACGTCTGTTCCAGGCATGATGAACTCATGCACGGGTTGAAGGCGGAGTTCAATAGGAGCGACGATGACAAGAATAGTTAACTCAATTTCCTCTTAAAAATGCCCGAGCCCACAGCTCCGTGAGCGTTTGTGAAATCGGACTCGCAGCTGCACGGATAGATTCGGCGCATCGAATGACCTCAAGTACCCATTTTCATCAAAGCCTGACACATTATTGGGCACTGTATCATTTTACAAAGCAGTTATGCCGAAATGCCCCAAAGGTACGTTACAATCATGATTACAAAATGCAACCTTTAGAAACAACCCATCCAGCAAATGCCAACCATCAGAAATCAGCTCGCGAACGTACCTTTTGAGCGCACAAAAATGACGGACTTTTCTGCCTTTGGGTCACTCTAGTTCACACCATTTAAGGACACGATGTCTCCGGGGCATCGTGTCTTTATCGTTAAATTTTTGCCGGGGAATTGTCCCGGGGTAAAAATAAAAAATAAAAATCGAAAGATGCAAACGATTCCTTACATCATCGCGAGGCCAACGATGCATAATTTTGTGTCGTTCCAATTGCATAGACAGGAGCTATCGGTCAACAAAGATGTCCATGTAATGCTCCATCAAAAATGCCGTTGGCTTCAACTCGATAGTCGCTCCCCTCCCCCCCCCCCCCCATCGAGCCGTAAATCTCACAGATGCATTAAGCGCATCAAATAACCATATGGATGCATTTTTATCAAAATCTGAACAGCGCAGGTGTTAATTCGTCATTTCACCGGCCGATTTGCAAAAGGCAACAGAAACAACAGAGGTGACCTGGGAACAATGTCTCGTTCCGCTGCCGAAGTCGACTCAGCGGTCTAGAAACACATAACACCAAAACATCCACCGTGCACGGTGCCCCTCGACCACGCCCATTCTGCCGGGCGCTGCTGAGACGGCGGGTGGTGCGAGTCGCGCCGACCGTACCCGTTTGGTGAGCGCAGCGGCGGAGAGCCCCAGCGCCGGCGCCAGCTGGTCGGCCGGGAACACGGCCGCCAGGCAGCGGCTCAGGTACGGCACCAGGTCACGCGCCAGGCACCGACAGAAGCGGCTGTAGTTACGCCGCTCGGCCTCCGTCAGGCCCTGGCTGTCCTGCGGGGGCGGAGGAGACGCCGCTCGGTCAGGCAGCTCCGCTGGACGCGAGACATGCGCCGGAACCTCACCCGGACCGCTCAGCCGGGCCACAAGGACGGAGCTCACGATACACGCTTCAGGCTCAGCCAATCTCTTCCTCAGCGTTTAAGCGCGAAGAAACGCTTCAGTTAACCGTGCCCTCTTTATTCCAGTGCATTTGTACTCCATAAGATGGATCAGCTGCTTTGTCACTTCTCTGGCTGAGCATACCATTCACGAAAAGAAAGCATTGTTGAATGAGAACCAGCAGAGCCATCAGGATTCCGATGGCGCCGAGTGACAGCGGCGCGCGGCTAGCCCGGGCACTCTGCCCAAGTCCAGCGCAGTCTATCGGCGCCGCCTCGCCTCGCCTCGCCACATGCTTGGCCTCGGCCGGGCGTCTCACCGTGTGATAGAGGTCGACCACGCGTCCGACGACGGCGGCCAGGCTGTCCCTCAGCAGCGCCGCCACCTCGTGCACCAGCCCCAGCGCCGGGCACAGGCGTAGCTCGTTGAAGGCGGCCAGCGCGCCGTTGCAGTAGTGCGCCAGCGGCAGGTAGTCGAGCAGCGAGGCTGGCGGCTGCAGCGGGTCCTGCGGCACCGAAAACGTTACAGATGGCAGCCCCGTCAGGCGGCAGGGGCGCACACATAGCGCAAGCACGACATCCTCGGGCATAGTACAGCTGCTCGAACTGTCATCAGTTTAGATCAGGTAGCCCTTATACCTCCGGATTGACTCATACCAATCCAACTACGACGCACTCCTCCGGCACTGGCACCACCACATGCTGACCTGGCTTTGACCCCTGACCTGAGCGGCGGAGGGTGGCTCCAAGGCGGCGGGGCTGGCCGTGACACGGGCCTTCATGCATGTGAAGGCGTCCATGTACTGGCGAAAGCGGGCGGTGGCGGCGTCCAAAGTGCGCTGGAACTGCGCCAGCGCCGCCTGCTGGAAGAGCGGCGCCGCCAGCGGGCGCAGGTCGGCGCCCACGCGAGCCAGGCTCAGGCCGAAGTACATGGTCTGGGAGAGCAGTGAGTCCAGCCGCGAGCCCACGCCGCGCGCCAGGTCCTGGCGCAGCGTGCGCACAAACTGGTCCACCTGCCGGGCGGCGCCAGCGCGTCAGCATCGGCCGCCAGAGGCACCACTGTCGCCGGTCGCACGGGCCGGTTCCTGCCGGGCGAGTGGAACGTACCCGGAAGATGGCATCATCACCTCACGAACCCGCAACAGCGTCACAAAAGCAGACAAGTGCCCGCACTGCCGGGGGAGAGAGCGAGCCAGCGGCAATGCGCGGGCGCCTGCCCGGCAGACGGCGGGGACGCCGGTGCCCACCTTGAGGTTGATCCACTCGTAGAAGATGGCGGGCGCCGCCTCATCGGCGCCCGCCTGCAGCAGGGCGCTTTCGTCGCTGAACACAGCCCGGTACTGGGTTACGATGTCGAACAGGCTCACGCGGCTGACCTCGATCGTCTTCGAGATGTGGTGGTACGCTGGCGGCACGCGCAGGCACGTCACACCGGCGGCGCGCACACAGTCAGGCAGCGACAAGGTGCCGGGTGACGTTACACCGCCAACAAGCTCGGGCCGGCCGGCGCACACCGACTGCACGACCATGTACGCAGCGCGTGGCACGTTGGCACCATACGTACTTGACACCAGACGGGCATCGGCGGTGCACCAGGCGGGACGGTACTCACGGTCGTCCCGGCTGATGTTGCTCAGCTGCTCGTCCAACCAGGCGTTGCGCGCCTGCAGAAACTTGAGCCGCAGCTCAAACTCGGTGAACACCTCCATGCGCCGCAGGTGGCCTGGAGGCCGACGGAGCGTCCGGTCAGCGGACAGAGGCACGCCCACTCCACACGAGAGCTGGAATGGCGCCAGGGCAGAGGGGCACCGGAGAGCGCAGCCGGCCCAGCCGGAACGAATCGCGGCTGCTCTTAGCCACGTTGGACCAGATGCTGACATGACTCCTCGTCAACACCGGTCTGGAAGTGCCTGCACTGGGTTATCCCCTGCGAGCCAGCACACAGTTCAGTCATTGGATGGTCCGTTTTGGGGCACCGAGGCCAAGGCCGGCCAGCTTCACTCTGCCCACCGTCTTGCAGAGCGGCATGGACACGTACCGATCACTTTCAGGCACTGCGGCAGCTGAATGTTGGTTCGCAGCTGCGACACCAGCTGGGTCAGCATCGAACGATACGCCAGCTGGACGTCAGCAACGATACCCTGCCGGTAGGAATAGCTGTGATGGCGGCTGGCGATGCTTCAGCGGGTCGGCAGCGGCTGGGCCGCTCTGCCACCCCCTCCATCTTCTGAGCAGCGTCCTCTCCATTGTTTGCCCAAATTGTCATCATCAGGGGTAGCGTCTGCTGTGATGCCGCATGGTGCAGGAACCCCGGGCGAGAAAGCACAGATCTGAACCGCACGTGACACGTCACGGACGCGACCTGCGCCTGGCCGGAATACTACATCCGGCGCCAGCTCTGGCCTGGCGCCAGGTCCGGTTCGACAACCGACCTCAAACACCAAACCCCTACCCCGGCCGACCCGGCGTTACTGACAGTGACGCCGACACTGACATCGACCCCTCCCCACCATAGGCAGCATCGCTGGCCTGACACCCCCCTCCCGTCCCCTGGCCGACCCGACGTCACTGACACTGACACCCCTCGCACGAAGCGTCGCTGAGCCCTGCCCTGTTGGTCCAAGCGCCTGACTCACCTCTACCAGCCGTATGTGGCCGTGCTTCTTCTCGAGGCTGCGCACGTGCGTGACCAGCTCCATGGCCTGGTCGTAGTAGCCGTTACGGACGCCCGTGTCCATGAGCTGCGGCAGCTCCAGCACCTCCAGCAGCTCGGTGTGCTTGGTCAGCGTGGTCGAGTTGAGCCGGCGGCGAGCCTGGATCTCCGCGCCGCGCCGACCAAACTCGGCGCAGCGGCCGGCGAACTCGGGCAGCTCGGCCAGCAGCCGGTCCAGACGCTCCTCTACAGACGTGAACTGATGGCAGACAGGGTGCGAGGTCAGCTGGAGCCAGCTGATGTTGGCAGGAAGGGTGACAGAATGTTCGGCATGGCCGTACACTGCTCATCTTGGCCTCTCAAAACCATCCTTTGAGGTGATTTGAAGCCATACAAATACCCAGAGACCAAAGACAGTGCTCACAACGCATGAATTTCCGCGACAGTATCATCAACGTCAGATGCCACAGACACATCACGTCTCAGCTGTCGACGGCAGTGGCTTGGTGGCGGACGGAGACTGTGAGTGGCGAGTTTCTGTAAGTGGGACTGACTGCAGAGAGTGAAGAATGCTCGCCATTCCTCCGGCCGTCATGTGCGGCACAACCCACAATCCCAACTATGCCACGGCAGGTCGCGTGTTTATCTCTCGCTTGAGGCGAGCGGCCCTCATCCGACAGTCGGCGAGTGCTCGCGGAGTGCTCGTGAGTGCCCGACAGCTGACCTCGCGGAGCACGGCTGACGAACACTCGGCTGTCTCCACGAACGTCTTGTAGTTCTGAAAGGCCAAGTCCTGAGTCTGCTGCAGAGTGTGTGCCATCTCCTCCTGGATGCGCACACCCTCAGTACCTGTCAGCAGAAGGAGGGGTTCTCATGTTCACTATGCTCAGTGGCAGATGCATAACATGACTAGGGCAAAACCATGCAGACCACACCATGTCACACACATCTAACATTACAAAGGAAAATAATAGGAACATGCTAAAAGAAGAGATACAATGAGATGCAAGATGCAAAGAGAGAATTCAAACATTGTTGTTTGGATTCACTAACAGACAAAGGTTAAATAAAAGTCTGAAGTCATTCCATTAACTTACGTAGCTTTTCAACACCAAATGTGCTGATTTGGGCCAAGTAGTTGTTGACGTCAACATCATTCTCCAGGTCTGAAAGAGAGGAAACATACCACAATTCAGATAAGTTGATTCTATCGCACAATTCATCTTTGCAATAGTGAGTAAGACTGAAGATCAACTAACTGGTCATGTCACACATGAAGAAGAAGACATGGAAATGTAACACTCATCAGTCATATATCAGCCTTACCAGCAGCTCCAACAAGATTTCCTAACATGACCAGTGTGAGACATGAATGCATATTTCAAGTGCTCATATTCCATGTGTAACAAATCAAGGCTCCTGAAATGAGATGACATGAATGATGACATTTGGGAGCATGCCCATCCTCCTTGATATGCTTGTGCTAAACCTGAAACTTTAACTCACTTCTTACCAAGACATGTCTGTTCACAAGACTAACAAGGTCATGTTAATCCCTTGTTAGCAATACTGAATGAACCTAAGACATGTACACCATGCACCCCATTGCTGTGCCATATACCTGTGTTCAGCAGGTACACAAAATCTGCATCTCTCAGAGCTGTTTGGCCTTGATGGAAATGTGCACTCAAGGTAAAAGATATCCTAAATCAGTTGGAACTTTTTTGAATATCTGAAGGTAATCCAAATCAGATAATGATACATTCTCATGATACAATAGCATGATAATTGTAAAACTCTATTTTATAGCCACAATCACATCAACATCTTAAGGGCCAGAAAGTGCACATGCTGGTGCCACCTCACTGCAGTTAATGAATACCCCTACCAGACAATCTATCCAAGCCATGAGTTTATGTAAAACATCCTAGTCTTGAATTTATATCGGCCTCTAAATGAAGGCATGCAAAGCTCTAAATGTGAACCCCTTGCACAGCAGAGTAAATATTACCTTTTTCTTGACCAGGAAAAAGTCTGTTAAGCAGTTCTCTGTTGCTCTCATTCATCATTATGCTTGCTCAGTTCAGGTCGGCAGCACAGTGGTCTCAATCCTGAAAATATGCTATCACCAACACCAATATAATCAGCAGGTATCGCCAGGAAACCCATCAGCTTGCTTTAAACGGCCTAAGTCGCTTAAAAATAGCATGCGAGACACAAAATAATGATACTGGTATATTTAACAGGCTTTCAGGAATAACTCTATGACATTCATTTAACTTCATCAATCATATATAACGACAATAAATAACGTTTTATGTTCCCCCACCACCCCACCCGCTCACACCAATTACCGCATATACGCCTGCGGTATGGTCAGGTGCAGGGCAATACAACACCGGTCAGGTGTGACTTTCAGCTGATTATGCAAAGATGGTAAAGCATCGTGAACACATCCAGCTGATTGGACAATGACGTAACCGAACCACAAAATCACCGCCAACCTGAATGCCCGGCAAGTCCACAAGTGACACATTGGCGCCTCCGTCGCATGTGCAGTCAATAATTGGCGAACAATGACCGAAAGTAACTAGGTGGAATGGAACGGGACGACACAGAATGCAATGGAGCCGGGCCACACCGGACGGAATCAGATGGAACGTCATGAAACAGGAAGGGACCGGAAGAAAAACTCAAGACCAAAGCAGACGGGGCCGGTGGACCAGATCATACAGGATTGGGTAAAACCGGACGGTATCTAGTGGAATCAGCTGATATTAAATGGAGCCGCTCAACACCAGACGGGATAAGACGGCCCCGGATGCAACAGAAGTAAGCCAATGGGACCAGACGGAACCAGAAGGGACCTAACTGAACTGGACAAAATCGGACGGCACAAAACGTGGCCTAAGGGAGCTAGGTTGGACAGAACGGGACCAAACGGAACCGGACGGGACCGGACAGAACCAGAATGGCACAAGACCGAAGCGGACCGAACCGGACGGAAACTCATGAGGCAAGACGGAACCAGACGGGACCACACAAACAGGGCCGGACGGGATCAAACCAGACTGTGACCAATTGAAACTGGACAAGATCTTATCGGATTAGATGGGACAGGACGGGACCGGACGGAACCAGATAGGACCAGACGGAATCGGAAGGGATCGAACGGCACCAGTCATGACCGGACAGAGCCGGACGGAACAGGACGGAACAGAAGTCCACGGAACGGAACGGAGCTAGAACGAAAGGGACCTTAGCAAACCAGACGAAATCGGACGAGGCCAGACGTAACCGGACTGGATTAGACGGAAGCGAACTGGACCGGACGCGACCGAATGGAGTTCGTCGCTATATAACGGGGTCAGACGAAACAAGATGGAACGAAACGAAGCCAGAGGGGACCGATTGGAGCCAGATGGGAATGGACGAGAATTGAAGTACCGGATGAAACTGGACGAGACCTGATGGGATCGGATGAAATCGGACGAGACCTGGGACCGGGTGGGACTGGACAGGGCCCGAAGGGGCCGGATAGGACATGATGTGATGGGACGGGATCGGACGAAAAGGGACGTGACCAAAAGGAATGGAACGGGCATGACGGGACCAGAACCGAACCAGCCAGCACCAGACTGAGCCCGTCTGGTCCTATTTGGCTCCGTATGGTCCCATCCGACCTAGCATGGTTCCATCCGGTCCCGTCCAGCATCATCGCCCCTGGTCCCGCACCCGACCTCATTTGGTTTTATCTGGCCCCATTCATTCTTGTCCAGTCCTCTCTAGCGCCGTGGAATTCTTTCCTGTCCCATGTAGTCCCATTCGGTTCTGTCCGATTTCGTCACACCACATCGAGTCCGTGCAGCAGCGTCCAGTTCCGTGCCGCCTCGTCGGGTCAGGACAGGTCTCTTCCGATTTTGCCTGGTTCCACCTGGACTAATCACGCTTTATCCAGTGTCGTCCGGTTCCGCTTAGTCCCCTCCTTTCCCATCCGGTTTCTATCGATTACGTCCAGCGTCGTCCGGGTATTATCTGGTCCCGTCCGGCTTGGTTTGGTCACTTCCGGGGCCGTTTGATACCATTCCGTCCGTCCGGTCCGTTCGGTGCCTTCCGGTGTCATCAAGTCCCATCCCAGTCCATCCGATCCCGTGAAACTCTGTTCAGTTCTGCCTGAGCCCGCATGGTTTCGTCATGTGCCGTCCGGTCCCGCGCGGTTCGGTATGGAACTACGGGCAGACTGGAAGCACATTTTTGGTTTTGTGACGTCACGGGGCAATCAGCTGAAACAATTTGTGACCTTTATCCTGGTATCAACAGGCAACCTGCAGCCGCACCACTGATTTCCGCGTTGGGTGGTGTGTACTCGGTGGGTGTCGAGTGGGGCTTGAGGGTTAAACCACGATCTGTTGCCACTATTGGAACAAGGCTAAATGAAGATTCTAGGAGTATTCCAAAAATTGTGTGCATCCGCTTGTTTTAATATTATACTGAGGTCGCGCAAGATTCAGTTAAACATTGTCGTAGGCAGCGTGAGGCCGGTACCGGCGACAGCCCACCTCCACCCATCCAGCTTCAAATGTATAAGATCTCTTAGGACCTGCTCCTGTTGTCCCCAGACTATGCAGGCATTGCTCATGGCCTTATTAACGTTGGGCCATGTTGTGCCCATTGCCACTCACAGTTATGTGGTAATACACTTGTGCAGTGAAGCATCCAGATGATAACAAGGCAGAATCTATGACACCTTCCATCCATCTTACAGTATGACTGTATATATATATATATATATATATATATATATATATATATATATATATATATATATATATATATATATATGTGTGTGTGTGTGTGTGTGTGTATATATACAGTAGATTCCTGTGATGTTGATTGTTTTTCTATCACTAAAAAACTTTATATTTTCAGTACAAGACTTAGAAGCTGAAGTACCTCAAGACCAGTGAACAATGTTTGCTGCAAGAAGATTGGTGATTGCTGCCCATGCCCAGCACAAAAGCTTCAATTTCTTGCTGAAAAAGCTTCATGTCTCAGCTCCTCTATCAAAGCTAGACCTAAATGGAGTTTACCCACCAATATCAACCCCTTTCACCAGTGATGGAAAGGAACAGATGGACTTTGACAAACTGGAATCCAATTTGAATGTTTACAGCAAATCTCCACTAAGGGGTAAGCATAGGCATAGCAATCTCCACTACATTTATTGCACCTGTTATGCCCATGTTTAATGTGTGACATCAGGAAGGACTTGCATTTTTCTTGGAAGCTAAGGTCTTACCAATGATGTGATGTAGCAACATATTGATATTTGCAGTGCTTCCTGAATAATTTAGCAAGACATAAGCTATGTCAACCAGGTAGAGTGCCTATCACACTTCACACAACATCCGGATGATTTCTGCTCTTGAGCATGAGCCTGCAGCACATACCCTGTGTGCGTTGGCCATGGCCGTCGAATCCACAGCACGTCGTCGCTGCCAGGGTACCTGGTGCAGGGCAGCAACGGCGAGTACGTGTACCTGTCGCCGGAGGAGCGTGTGGAGATGGTGCGCCGCGTGCGCCGCGCCGTGCCGGCCGACCGGCTGGTGCTGGCCGGCTCGGGCTGCGAGGCCACCGGCGATACGGTCCGCCTCACCGCTCAGATGGCCGAGGCCGGCGCCGACGCCGTCGTCGTCGTCACGCCCTGCTACTACAAGTCCGGCATGACGGTGAGCGCGCTGATGCCGCCGGCTGCGGCTGAGCAGGTGCGCTGTGCTGTTGCTGTACCGCGGCCGTGCTGCGAAGTGAGATGTCGCGCTTTTGCCGGCCTCCCTCAGCAGACATGTCGGACGGGAGAGGTGGCATGGGCGTTGTTGGGGACGTGTGGTCTCTACGCCTACATCACCGATACGAAATTTGGGGGAGTTTTATGTATCGCCTCAAACTCCTTCATGCCACCCTTCATATAGTTATGCGCAAGCAGACAGTCAGGACATGTTTGATCGTATCTTGTTGGTGTTTAACACCTTGCAGTGCAGTAGCAATTCTATTTGTCCATCGGAACGTGCGGCGACGACTGCGTCATGGGTGCATTGACGGCGATGATAGCCGTTCACCGCGATAATGCGCCATGCTCTAGGTGTTACACACATCGTTCCAATTATGGCCGCACAGGAGGTGGCGGCTGTTTCTGAATGACGGCAGTGGCGCGAGGCCCGCTGACGCTGTGTCCCTGACGCCGTCCGTGCGGCCGCGCGCGCAGGACGCGGCGATGGTGGCGCACTACACGGCCGTGGCGGACGCCAGCTCGGTGCCGGTGGTGTTGTACAGCGTGCCGGCGAACACGGGCGTGGACCTGAGCGCGGCGGCTGTGGCGCGGCTGGCGCAGCATCCCAACATTGTCGGCATCAAGGACAGCGCCGGAGACGTGAGGGACCGGCCGTGACGGAGTCGCGCAGCTTAAGGCTAACCACGTGCCGGAGATCTGGCGTGGCGTGGAGAACGTCAGGCTCACGGCGAGAGCGCTGCGTTTGGCTTTACCAGACATGGTGCCAAAGTTGAAAAAATGGCCCGGGCATGCAGATGCTGACGAAATGGCCCGGTCCGTGAGTTTTGCCCTTATGGAAAATCTGCGCACATTGGACCTGGCTGTGGTTAATGCGAAGCCGTGGTTCCTTGCAGATCAGCAAGCTGGCTCTTATGGTACACCAGACCAAGGGCGAGAACTTCCAAGTGCTGGCCGGTTCGGCTAGTTTTCTGCTTCCAGCCCTGCTAGTGGGTGAGTGCCCTCTCACCGTCCTGCCGTCGTCGCAAGCGTTCAGCACTCGCCGCTGTTGCGGTGCTAGCTCTGAACCAGCAGCACATCACACCGGTCTTGGAGGTGTCCAGTCTGTTACAGCTGAAAGTTTGGCACATCGACATCACGAACGCCTCACGCACAGCGTCGTGTGTGTGCAAGGGTCACCCGACCCGGCCAGCTCGTGCTGCAGAGTCCGCCAGACGGCCCTCGTGCCCCGAAGTGAGCGTGTGTGACACCGCGCCGTCCCGCAGGCTGCGTGGGCGGCATCTGTGCGCTGGCCAACGTACTGCCGGCCGAGGTGTGCCAGCTGCAGGCGCTGTTCGAGGCCGGCCGACTGGAGGAGGCAGCCGCCCTGCAGCGTCGCCTGGTGGCGCCCAACGCCGCCGTCACGCGGCAGCTGGGCGTGCCGGGCCTGAAGGCGGCCATGGACGACCACGGCCTGTACGGCGGCCCTGTGCGCGCGCCGCTGCTGCCGCTGCCGGACGCCGAGCGACAGCGGCTGCGCCAGGTATTCGCCGACGCCGGGTTCCAGTAGGCGGGGGTCGGCAGTGGAGCTGCAGCCGGCGACGGGGGTCTGCCAGGCAGGGGCCGTCAACGCTGGGGTTCGGTAGGCGGGGGTCGGCAGTGGGGCTGCAGCCGGCGACGGGGGTCTGCCAGGCAGGAGCCGTCGACGCTGGGGTTCAGTAGGCGGGGGTCGGCAGTGGAGCTGCAGCCGGCGGCGGGGGTCTGCCAGGCAGGGGCCGTCGACGCCGGGTTTCAGTAGGCGGGGGTCGGCAGTGGGGCTGCAGCCGGCGGCGGGGGTCTGCCAGGCAGGGGCCACCGACGCTGGGTTCCAATAGGCGGGGAGTCGGCAGTGGGGCCGGCGGCGGGGGTATGCCAGACAGGGGCCACCGGCGCTGGGGTTCAGTAGGCTGGGGTCGGCAGCAGGGCCGGCCGCCAGCGCCAGGGGTCCGCCGGACAGGGGCCGCCGACGCCGGTGGACGTTGTGTCGGCGCCGTAGATGGTCTGTGATCGGCTGGCCAGGTGAACGGGACCATGACCACCATGAGTGAGCCGGGATAAAAGGCTGAAGAGCTAGGTCAGCGGCCTGCTCGGCCGATGTTTGGTGAGCTGTGACTTTTGACGCTTGTACGAATACAGCACGGTGCCGTATTTTTCAGCGGGGAGTAATGCCTCCTATATTTGTACAAGGACGCTATTTTGTACATGGGTATATTACAACCGTGGGATGGAACCCGTGAGTACAGTGGAGTAAATCTTGGGGGAAACAAGATGTATGCCTCAGGGAACTAGCGCATTTGATGCTACCCCAACAGTGCATGGTGTGACGAGAATGGATGTGGTTTGGACGAGTGCCAAACCGACCTGCGAAAGATAACATATAGTACCAAGCTCGCTGAACTTAGTGCAATATCATGCTAACACGTTGAATATATTGCCGGATAACAAAGCTCTGCGTTTTGCGTTGAAACTGGGTGCCACCCGTTGTCTAACACCCGAAACCGTGCTGTCCGAACCTTGGGGACTGAGGTCTGAAGGCGGGCACTTATTTGGTGTTTTGACTGGTACCATCCCTGCCAGGGGTACTGCATATCTTTCTAGAGTGTTCGGTCGCGCACACGGATGTGCCCGCCCGCTGCCGTCCCGACCGTCATTGCGGTAATGTTCCGACGCTTCTTTCAGTAGTGCCGCAGTCCGTTGTTAGGCTCTGGCGGGACGGAACCAGTCACGATGCATTCTGCGCAGTCGGCAGCTATGCCTGCCGCCGCGGACAAGCCGAGAAGAGCGCTGCGACCACAGGCCACCATGTGTGTATTCAATTGAGGCCGTGCCTGGCGGCCAGCCGACCGTTTCCGTTACCCTGTCACTCAGCGCGCGGCCTCGCGCTGCCCCTCCCCCTCGCGGCCGCCTGCGGGAAGCGCTGTTATGCAGAGCAGGTACAGTATTGCACATGGTTGGCACTGCGGCAGGCCGCTTTGCCGACCTCATGACGATTCACCAGCAGCCGCGCCAAGATTCCCCCCAGTCATTATGCGATCGAATGCATGCCAGGGTACATGACTGGAATAGGCGGAAGTCCGTGCCGATTCCGTAGGAAATGTTCCATCACGATGAGTGACGAGCGCGATTGCTGCAGCTGGCGAACGATGATATGGAAGGAGGAACCCGGATTAATTACACCATGGCCATGTAAGCCGAACAACGTCACTATATAACTATTAGAAACAACGTTAGGGCTTCAAAACCGGGGCATGGTCAGGCACCACCCAGTATCCGCCATCCACAATTAGCACAAGGCCATCGAGCTCGTACTGTAGCCCAATGGTCCAACGCACGGTACATCCCACATGCGCGACACAGTATCACAACAGCCCATAAACTGGTTTGACATTATGGCACACACGCCCAGCGAAAGCCATTGACAACACGTTAGAGAAAACACCTGGGCACCTCCCACGAGCCGGGCATCGCAAACAGTCCGGTATCCCGCAGCGTACTGGTGCGGCGCGCCGCCTGCACACCGCTCCGATCGGACTCAGCACCGGACGCTAGTGAACAACACCGTGCTTCGGAGCGCCCCGCGCACCGCTACGCCAGACCGCTGCCGTTCCCCTGTGACAAGAGAGCCCCACCCCATAGTGCGCTGTGTTGCACGGACGCCCGCCGCTCGCACGCTCCCTAGTTCAGCGAGGAGCGGCGCGCCGCCGGTCAAGCCAGGTGTAGGAGCTGGCTCGCCGGCCGGATTTCCCACGGCCGTTGTCCGGTCGCCTCCGGTACTCGTCAGGTCAGTCACGGAGGGTGTGTCGGCAAGGTCAAGTCGGATCAGGTCAGCTCACGTTCGGTGCAGGTCCAGTCAACACAGGACGGGTGGCGGTCCGAGTGTGGCTGCCGGTCAGTTCCCGTGCGTTCAGGTCAGGTGCTGGTCAGGTCGGGTGCTGGTCTGCTGGTCCCGTGGCCGGCCATCACCAGCGCGGCGTCCGTCTGCAGCTGGTCGGGCTGGTAGCGGGCGCGCTCGGTCAGCAGCGGCGCCAGCTCCTGGCTGGCCCACCGCTCCGCCACCACCAGATCCTCGGCGTCGCCGTCCGCGCCGGCCGCGTGGTGGCACAGCAGCGCACCTGGCGGCGACGGCGCGAAACATCAGAACGGCTCGTGTGGTACGCAACTACGGCAAATGGCCAGGGGCCCAAATGCAGGAATATCCCAATGGTGCTTCTTGAGAGTACAGGTTCTCCTGGTTCATGGTCGGGCCTGCATGAAGGTGAACAATCCTGGTCGTGAAGATGGCGGGTGGCAATGTCTCCAGGTTGTGAAGAACATCCATTTGTAGTTATGCAGTAGGCTGCGGACACGTAAGGTTCAGCATTTTGGTCTGTTTGATAAACTACGTTTGCCATACTACGGGTACGTGTACTCACACATGTAAGTCTTGGCGATGGTGAAAGCTAGATCCCTTGCTGCCACGTCTAAGCTGTCCTGGTTTTCTTTCATAAACTTCTCTACACCGGGCAAGATTTGCTTCACCTGGAAATAGTGGTTTCGCGCATGATAACGACAGGATTAGCACATCGCTACCAGGATGGACAACAATAACCTAATACTGTCACGCACCGACGATATTCACCGAAGAGTGTAATGCAACGTGGAATCCTGCCAGGCTGCAGTTACATGCAGCATTCCAGATTAATCACTTACGACCTGTTACGAGGGATCGAGAAACCTAGATATTAGCAGCAGTTTGCTTCCTGCGCCGACCTTTGCATCCATTGACCCTCACTCTCATGGGCGGGGGAGAGGAAAATGCGATCCCCTGCTAGGATATTCCGAGGAAATCTCAGGAACACTGCACGGTGATCTCGTTAACCGGCAACTCTTCGGACCGTGCGTGGCGGGCCGACGCTGTTCCACACACGGAACCATACATCACGAATGTATACCCACGTAAAACTACACACCATTGCATCCATACCTGAACAAGGAGCACGCCTGGTTACGCTGCGTGGCGCTACCAAAGCATGATCTCGTACATGCGCGGATACAAAGCTGAAAATGTTTGACCTTCAGGAGAATTTGACCTTTGAACTGGCAAAACACGGTCAATTAATGCCTAGCGACCTACAAAATTATTATCATTCGTAATGTTTCGTTGGGAATAATCGAATCTCTCCAATCTTTCCAATCTTTCAAAGACTCGATCTTTCTTACTTTGGAGACGGAAGGAAAGGGAGCCGCATCGGCCCTTTGATCGGCCTCCTGTCGTCATTGAAAACGGCGAACAAGCGACATTGTGACACACGAATATGTGCTTCAGATATCTTCGCTCGTGCCTAAAACACTCCAATTGCATAGTTGGAATTATTACTTGTTAATAATTACTTACTTTTATCATATAATAAGGGTTATTATTAATCACCCTTACTTATTAGTAATTACTTACCTGGAACCTAGGCGGACCCCTTGGCATTTGGAGCCGCCGTATCGAGAAATTCTTCCATCGACACCAGATCTCTTCAATGAGATGTTTTGTATTCATTATGTCCAAAATAGGCCCCAAATGACCCGATATGTTTATCAGTTGTATATACATATATATATATATATATATATATATATATATATATATATATATATATATATATATATATATATAGTTTATCAAGCAGACCAAAAAAGGCCTCAAATGACCCGATATAGTCCACCCTGGCCGAAATACGGGCTAGACCACCGGACGTTTTTCGCTCCCGGCTGTTTTATGATTACGTATGACGTTATCAGCCATCACGTCACGTCGCATAAGCAAATCAACGTTGCACAGCATACACACGAAACAATATATGCACCAGAATTTGCGGCGAAAGGCTCCGTCCATCCAACAGCCCACCTGCGTGCGGCAGTCATGCAATTTGTCACAGCATTGCGGCGGAAGACGGCTGGCTAGCGTAAGTGTGCCTTTTCACGTTACGCAGTGGGCAAATGTCTGACCAGACTACCTCCGGCACTTTTTGATGACAGCCAGTGAGACTGCCAGCACGCTTAACTCGATCCTGTGCCGTCCTTTTCTGGGGACACTCAGCGACACATTTCCCCACATCCCGTTCGTTCTGCACCGCAGATACCACGACGACCAGAGATGCAGCCCCCACCGCGGTGTGGGTTCATCCCTGCTGTATCTGCAGTCGCAGTGATCTAAAGGTTCCATGGTAAGTTGTTGCAAGGTGTCCTGTTGAACTGCACAAATTGTGACCTAGCATGACACCCTAAATGTTCAGCTGAAAACTTTTATATTAAAACTTTAATAAACGTCACAGCTGGGCGGTATTCCTCTGCCAGGTGCCGTTCTCCCCACACCTGCTGACCTGCCCTCCTCCAACGCCGGGGCGCCGCTCGGCCCGCTCTCAGCGCCGTACCTCGGCCCCTGACCGGTGGCATTCTCTACACACCTGCTGACCTGCCCCTCCTCCAGCGCCGGGGCGCCCCTCGGCTCGCTCTCAGCGCCGTACCTTGACCCTAGACCGGTGGCATTCTCACCACGTCTGCTGACATGGCCCTCCTCCGGGTCGGTGGCGTTCTCCCCACGCCTGCTGACCTACCCCTCCTCCAGCGCCGGGGCGTCGCTCGGCCCGCTCTCAGCGCCATACCTTGACCCCTGACCGGTGGCATTCTCCCCACACCTGCTGACTTGCCCCTCCTCCAGCACCAGGCCGCCGCCGGGTCCGTGTTCGGCTAGCGCCGTACCTTACCCCGACCGGTGGCATTCTCCCCACACCTGCTGACCTGCCCCTCCTCCAGCGCCGGGCCGCCGTCCGGTCCGTGTTCGGCGAGCGCCGTACCTTACCCCGAGCGGTGGCATTCTCCCCACATCTGCTGACCTGGCCCCCCTTAAGCGCCGGGGCGCCTCTCGGCTCGCTCTCAGCGCCATACCTTGACCCCTGACCGGTGGCATTCTCCCCACACCTGCTGGCCTGGCCCTCCTCCAGCGCCGGGCCGCCGCCCGGTCCGTGTTCGACAAGCGCCGTACCTTGACGACGGCCGGCCTGAGCCGGGGGTGAGCAGCGGCCGGCGGCAGCAGGCGCTCCGCCACGTCGGCCGCCAGGGCGCGCCACGCCTCGCCGCCCGTCTTGCGGAGCGCGCGCAACACGTCCATCGAGAGCACGTTGGTGGTGCCCTCCCAGATGGGCAGCACCTGGCTGTCACGCAGCAGGCCCGGCAGGCCCGTGTCCTCGATGTAGCCCTGTCCGCCGAAGCTCTCCAGGCCCTCGGAGGCCGTCCAGACGGCCTGCTTGGCTGTGTACAGCTTGATGACGGGCATGAGCAGACGCAGCAGAAGCCGGTCCGAGTCGCTGGCGGCACCCACGTCATCACGGCCCTGCAGGCTGGCGGCAGCCAGGCGCACACGTGTCAGTGCGGACACACAGCACGGGCACGGACACGCGGGACGGCGACGGGCGTTACGCGGAGACAGCCAGGGGAGAGGCATCACTGGAGCGCGCTGCCGGGGCTGGAAAGTGCACCGCGTGCCCACACAGGAGCTGTGGTGATGACGCGATCGAAACGAAACGCAGAGACCCCGAACACAACAGACCAGCCAAACATCGGCAGAAAAACACGGCGCCTGAACAGCTGCGGTAGAAACACACGGCCAAAGCAGCATCTCACCTGACCATCTGCAGCAGGAAGGCCTGGCAGGCGCGGGTCTCGACCTCCATGAGGGCGAGGGTGCGCGTGTGCAGAGGCCAATCGCCCACCGGCCGGCCGAACGCCGTACGCCGCCGGCTGTAGTCGCGCGCCAGCTGCAGCACCCTGGCGGCAGGCGCGGCGGGCGGGCGTCAGCCAGGCCGACGGACAGAGCGGTAAGCTCGGCCACCGATTCGGCTCGCCCGAAGCGCGCGACAGGACGGCTGACCAGACGACGACACCCTCGGTCGGGCGGATATGACTGACCAGCAGCCGCACCGGCCACGGCTCCACTCCCGGTGCCACACTGATCACGGTTCCCCGGTACCACACTGGTCACGGCTCCCCGGTATCACACTGGTCACGGCTCCCCGGGAACACACCAGTCACAGCTCCACTCCCGGCACCACACCGGTCACGGCTCCACTCCCGGTACCACACCGGTCATGGCTCTTCGGTACCACACCGATCACGGCTCCCCAATACCACACCGGTCACGGCTCCACTCCCGGTACCACACAGATCAAGGCTCCCGGTACCACGCCGGCCACGGCTCCCCGGTACCACACCGGTCATGGCTCCGCACCGGTCACGGCTCCCCGATACCACGCCGGTCACGGCTCCCAGGTACCACACCGGTCACGGCTCCGCACCGGTCACGGCTCCCCGGCACCACACCGGTCATGGCTCCGCACTGGTCACGGCTCCCCGGTATCACGCAGGTCACGGCTTCGCACCGGTCACGGCTCCGCACCGGTCACGGCTTCGCACCGGTCACGGCTTCGCACCGGTCACAGCTCCACACCGGTCACGGCTCCACATCGGTTACGGCTCCGCACCGGTCACGGCTCCGCGCCTGGTCGGTTCGGACCGGCCGCGGCGTCCGGTGGACTCGCCTGCGCATTACGGCGACGCTGGAGACGGCGTTGTGCAGCCGGGTAACAGTCAGCATGACGGCGATGTTGGCCACGCCGCGGCCGTCCTCGCCGACGCGGCGCGCCACCGTGCCGTCGAGCAGCAGCTCGGCAGTCGGCAGCTGGCGCGTGCCTGTCGCCCGACGCCGGTCAGACAGAAGTGGGCCAATGTTGAGACAATGGAGCGACGGTTGATTGGAGCGGAGGTGACATGGCCACACTCACACGGTGCACCGGCCGTCACTTAAGCATCCAATCGCGGAAGTGTTGGATGAAAGACATCCGACAATTATACAGACTACATCCAGTCGCTGGTGTCAACCTGCTGATCTCATATAGTGACTATCAATAGCGACATTGGTCATCCTTCGACATAATTCCGACACAAAGCATATGTCGCGGTACTTTAGACACAGCGACTCTCCAATTGTCTGCGTCTTACCCAGTTTGTTCTTCAGACGGATAATCTCAATGTTATTTAGCTTTCCACTTGGGTGACGTGTCTCGACGAAGTACATGCTCAGGCCTCCCGATCCCTGACAGAGCAAACACATAGAGCTGGTGTGGAACATATGGCAATGACACACGCCAACACTCCGGCACAAACAAATGTCGCCGAAGCCAAAAGCAAGATCGTGAGACAAACAGGACAAATATGAGCGCACGTGGTTGTAAGACCACCGAAGGTTGATCAGCTGAGTAACGAATCATCACCGCAAACGCGACGGCGTGCCGAACACAGCCGTGGTAACTTTAGTACCTGTTGGGTACCAGGCGTTCACAGTCACTCGCTGCATCGCGGTCTAGAGCGGAGGTAATGGGCTCGTTCCTGTAACCCTTTGCTGTCTGCACTTTCCCCATTAAGCACATTGCCACGAGAATGTTCGAAGCACAGCCCTTCGGCATGTTAGATGCAAGTCAACAAAAAAGCATTCGGCACCTCGCCAATAAGTCCGTTTGCCACTACATATCCATTTTATCGGCATTACACGTAAAACGACAGCACTGAGCTGGTGAAGTGTTCAGACACTCAAACCTGAACCATGACCGACAGCACACAACCCCCACCAAAAACAGCCCGGGCCTATTCGTCAGACGCCAGACCTCGTCGCTCACGGAAGATATAAACAGACGGCGGTAAACAACTGTGTTTCTAACGGGCCGCAAAAACACCTCTGCTGAATTCGTACAGGATGTTAAAATAGTCCTGCAGCATACCACATTACAAGGAGCCTGAAGCCGTGGTTCTCGGGCCGGAAACCAGCTTTAACTAGAACTGAGTGGAGGGCATTACATTTGCACACAATCAGTGGCCGGCATAAGGCTGAAGTTAAGGGCTGCGACCGATCCGCACGGACAGATTGTCGGCCCGACGTTAGCGAAACAATTCACCCCTACGGCGCCACCGTCCGGGTCGAGTGTGCGTGCTAGCGTCAGACAGACGTCAGTGATGACCTCACTGACCTGTATGAGCCGACCGTCCGGGTCCAGTGTGCGTGTCAGCGTCAGACAGACGTCAGTGATGACCTCACTGACCTGTATGGGCCGACCGTCCGGGTCCAGCGTGCGTGCTAGCGTCAGACAGGCGTCAGTGATGACCTCACTGACCTGTACGGCGTTACCGTCCGGGCCCAGTGTGCGTGCCAGCGTCAGACACACGTCAGTAGTGACCTCACTGACCTGTGCGGGCCGACCGTCCGGGTCCAGTGTGCGTGCCAGCGTCAGACAGACGTCAGTGATGATCTCACTGACCTGTACGGCGTGACCGTCCGGGTTGAGTGTGCGTGCTAGCGTCAGACAGACGTCAGTGATGACCTCACTGACCTGTACGGGCCGACCGCTCGGGTCCAGCGTGCGTGCCAGCGTCAGACAGACGTCAGCGTCCGTGGCTGAGGAGAACCACTTGACGCCGTAGAGGCGGTACGTGCCGCCCTCGTGCGGCACGGCCACCGTCTCCGTGCCGGTCGCCACGTCCGAGCCGCCTGGGGAGCCGTGGCCGGGCGGTGAACACACGGACCGATCCCCCACCCCTTCGCAGCGGACGCGCACCACACATGCATTCTATTGAGCATGAACGGGGGCTGGAGGTAGGGTGTGAGGAAGAGCGACGTTGAGATGCTCTGGCATGGATGTCGATGTTGAGCTCATGACCCGCAGTGTAGATCCCACCGTCGGGCAGGAGCGTAAAAACACCAAACGAGGAGCAAAAGCCGGCAGCGGGCCGCATGCGTGCGGTAGGTGTTGTGAGCAGCAGCGTACCACGCTTCTCCGTCATCCACTGGCCGGAGGTCCAGAACTTGGCGGGGTTCCGAGAGGTCAGGTGCTCGTACGCCATCTTCAGGTGACGCGAGCTGTTGCCCTGCGAATCACGAGCAACACAGCGTGGCGCGGACCATAGGCTGCCGGAGGAGTGATGGCGGCTCGGGCCATTGACGATCAACCGCCGAGAATAGCTCCATGACATTTGCACAAGGGCACACGTCACCTGCGCCTCTCCTCACCAGCCAGCGGCCCACTGAGCATGCTCGCGAACCGGGAAGAACTTCAACATTTCCCAAACAACGAACCGATTCAAATCCTTAAGCCAGATTTAAGCCCACCAGGAAGCAAAAGAGCAGTTATCACGACCGAGAACCGGAAACCTACGGGCCGGAACACCACTGTTTAGAAACGTTAATATTCTAATGCCTGGGTTCATCGCCTGAGCGCCGGGCATTCCTCTGCCGTCCTCTGCCCTGTCGCTGCCGCCCCTGTCCTGTCGCTGCCGCCCCTGTCCCGTTCCTGCCGCCTCTGTCCCGTCGCTGCCGCCCCTGCCCTGTCCCTGCCGTCCCTGCCCTGTCCCATCGCTGCCATCCCTGCCCTGTCCCTGCCGCCCCTGCCCTGTCCTTGTCGACCCTGTCCCGTCCCTGCCCCGTCGTTCTGCAGCGACACCGGCGTCCGGCGACTCCCGCTCGGTTCACCTCCAGCGTTTTGGCGGCGCCGTCTGTCATGGCCAGCGGGCAGGAGTAAAGGCCCGACGACGGGTTGAACAGGAACACCTTGGCCATTTGGTAGAGCCGGCTGTGCTCGGCGAAGTTGCGCCGGTACGCAGACTCGATGAGCAGCTCCTCAGCGGCGATCGTCTTCATCTTGGTCCAGGCATGACAGGTCACTGCAAGGCAGCAGCGGGGGTCAGGAGGCAGCGACCGACCCAGCCCGGTCACGGCATACGTCTGGAGGTGAAACCTCGCTGGCTGTATGAGCTCCCAAAAAGCTGGTCAAGGCTGTTTTCGAATACTGACAAAATATAACAGCAAAGAGATGGCAATGGCCATACGGCCTTTGGCACACCGTATTTACCTAGTTTGTCAATGCGCTCGCCCCATGCATTGAAAGTCTCCAGTTTTGGTGGGTTGTTCTCACAATCCAGACCCAATTTGTAGATATCTGTGGCGCAGCGTTCGCCGAATCTCTCCAAGTCCGGGTCCACTGCCTCGAAGACCTGGCAATCACGGCCCACGTCAACAACAGCATACCATCAACAAGGAATTCTCTGTGAGCAGAGAAATGGCATAGAGTAGTGATTACAAGGCGATGAGTCATTCCCAACTTCCACACATCAACCAGTTTGTGCCTCATGCATGCATTACTGGAAAATGTTGCATGGCAGGTCAGGCAGCAACCATGCTTTCTCTCATAAGAACCATTTTCAGTTTTACATTTTTTCACGCTTTCGCCGCATTTTCAGCACACTTTCAAAACCGGTAACAAGAGGTATTGCGCATTCCTCACCTCGCGAGGCAGAAGCCTGCGCAGATATTTGGCGAGTGTGGGGTCGCCCAGATATGTGTTGGTCAGCTGGTGGGGCTGCTGGCAAAACACGCCCAGATTGGCGCGGGAGACGGGCGGCACAGCTCCCCGTTCGGCGCGAGACAGCGAGAAGAACCGCGCGGCCAGCAGGGCATCAGATGGCTGCCGGCCACGCGCTAAGCGCGGGGACTGCCCACAAACCCTCCACAGGCAGCACGCAAGCATTGCAGCTGTGAAGTGTACTGTGAAACAGGACAGCAAGCATAAAAATACTGCAACAGTGATACTACAGACAAATTCTTTAAAAAATGCATTCTTAGTATCTGGTTTACAGCAGCACATCCACCACCAAAAACATGGGACATATGGAAGGGCTTAATATTGCTGCAGGCAGTGATATATGAGTAGCTTGGAACAGAAGAAGTAACTCCTATCAAACTGTCCAGCACCAGCCAACACTTCCTTCCAATACCAGAAAATTGTCTAAAGATGGTTGGGACAAATGCTAGCAAGCACCTTTAAAGTCATGCAACATGGCAGCAAGTGGTATGTCACATGTAAAACAGGTTGTCACACACACACAACACTCATACAGTCCCATATGTTTCAGAAAAGAGACTCCCAAGACAGGCAGCATCCTCCCAAAAATATAATATGCACAATGACACATCCAAAAAAGGTTTCTTAAGCAGTCAGGGGCTCTAGACATGGCCCCATGGCCCTGGTCCAGGCCCAAGTTTTTTTGAAGTGGTTAATGCATGCAATGAAATGTACAGGCACTGAGCTGCCACTGAAACAACCAGGCATCAGCCTAGAATGTTAAGGGGGACAGGGAGCAGCTGACACTAGGAACAGGTAATAGTCATAGTATGGGCCTGGGCAGCCCAGTGGCACCCAAGTTTTATAATAGGTGGTTATCAGGGGTGTAGTTTCCTTTTCATTTGGTGGGGGGGGGGGGGGGTTCAGCCCCCTCCTCCCCAACTTGACCACCAGCCCTCCCCTAACTTTGAATGGAAAGTAGGCCAGTCTGAGTTTGACACACAAAAGCACATGTTTCAGTGCACCAATGTTGCATAGGCAGTTGGTGCAGTGGATGGGTTTCACTGCAGCCTGGTCTATGAGTTAGCATGAGGTGCCCATGTGGTGCAATATATCAGTCACAGACTTTCCAATTTTCTTTTTTAGCTGGACATGGAATATTTTTTTCTAAACCCCTGGATGAGGCCTTACAGGTTTCATACTGTCTTACTTGTTGGAATGAATAGTCTATTTTGGTGACTGCTCACTGCAGCCTGGTCTATGAGTTAGCATGAGGTGCCTATGCGGTGCAATATGTCAGTCACATACTTTCCAATTTTTTTGAAGCTGGAAATGGAATATTTTTCTTAACCCCTGGACGAGGCCTTACAGGTCACATACCGTCCTACTTGTTGGAAAGAATAGACTATTTTGGTGATGAACCCACCGAAAGCACAAAATGACCCCAGAAGTTGATGCACCCTAAAACCCCAATCATCATCATCAGCCCACCGAAAGCACCTTAGTAACACTTACCTGTCACGCTCTCTCAACCCATCGGTTGAACTAGGCAAGGATGGAAACTGCGCATTAATATAGTATACACGATATCATTTATAATTAATAATTTCATTCACTGCATACCTAAAATGCTGCCAGCTGCGCTAACACAACACAGCCACCAGATAGCTGCATTCCAGCCCCACGGAGAATCTGAACCGAATCGGCTGCCGAACCAACTGAAGAACAAATATTGTGCGATTCGTAGTACAAGAAGTGGATTGTTTTGAAACACTGCGTCAACAATCACGCAGAGGAGACGTTTCTGTTTTGTCTGTGACGAGCTGACAGTGCTATCACAAAGAAGTTGTCAAATCATAGCGAGCCCGTACCGTACTTTGAAAGAGCGTGAGCAAAATCTGCAAGTTGTCGAATGCACGGAATAGATAGCCCCTGGTGCACTAGTGTATGCCAATAAATCAGTCGCGATATTTCATACGCTGATGGCCGGCAGCGGTTTTGGGAGGCGATAGGGGAAGCGGGAGTATTGTAATTGGGGAAAATCCACACTGGCTGTGTTGCATTCAGTGTCGTGCTGTAATTAAAGTAGCTGCAGGGTGTAGGCGTTGCAGAAGTATAGGCTACAAACCGAATCTGCTCTGCCGACTACTTTCGTTGCCCAAGGCCTGCGGGCTGTGTTTTACGCCCGGACAACGTGAATTGAAAGTGAGTCCCCGTCCGAACATAATGTGCTATCAATGAATGCAACATGTGGTGAATTCCGCAATTGCAAACGTCTGGAAACAGCAGGAATGGTGGGAAGCACTAAAAACTGGATAATTATTTTAACTTTTTGACCTGTGATTCATAAGAATAGGCAAAGGAAAAAGACCAGGACATTAAGTGCAAATCAGACATAAATGATATTTCAGGCTATGCTTATCAAGAAGCTTTAGAAAAGTTCAGTAAAACATTGCATGTGAAAAAGGCATGGTGATACAAGAAATGCTCCTGGTTTGTGTAGACCCTGCCAATAAAACATTCAAAAGATGTCATCCAAACTACCAGAACTTTTAACTGTACAGAGTTGGGAGCTTGGGTGATTATTTTGGAGATGTTAATGTAAAAGTGTTTGTGGAGACCAAAAGCAGTTTTTGGGTTCATTTGCCTTATTTTTTAAATATAATGTTTTGCTGAACTTTTCTGAAGCCTTTCTATGGTGGGTATGAGTAATAGCACAGCTTGAATTGTTCAGCATTGTCAATATAACTGCCATTTAGTTCTATGATGTTGTTTAGCAAGCACCTTTTGGGTATATTGAAGACTTCCAATTAGCATAAGAGCCTTATCCTGTAATTTAACATTAACCAGACTGCAGACATTCTCTCCCATCCTGAATTGTAACCCTCCCCCCCCCCCCCCCACCATCCAACTCTTACAATGCACCAATACAGTGCAGCATTCTAAGACATTGCAACTTATGCTCTGAAGGTAAGTCTTTGTCATCCTTAGCTGTTGCTGGATGGGAACTATTAAAAACAAGTTTTTTCCTGCTTCAACTGTAGTCATATAGCATCCAAGGCAGTTGAAAGCCATTTGATACTGTGTTAATGGCTAGGTTTTATTTGGCCCCATGTTGTACTTATGCTGCAAAAATGAGCAACAGCAGAAAACCAGACATGACAATTTGTGATGATGTCCATTTTGATCTCTTGGAGATAACTGGGATTTGATTATTATCCAGGTCTAATAAACCTAAATGTTTGCCAATAAACAAATAAAAATTGCTACTTTTGTGTAACATGGAAGGCCACTTTCCATACCTAATCCACATCAAGTGCATTCCAAATCATTATGCCATAATAAAATGACCTAGCATCAGTAAAATATCAATTTGGGTCATACATCATCAGCTTTGCATCTTCTTGGAAAGGTGAATGGCCCAGGATAGGGATAGGTGTTTTTAGAGATAGGTTTCAGTGCTCCATTACCTCCATGCTTCAAGAAGTCATGCACACTTGGGATAACACAATATAGCTGTTGTATAAATGACTCAGCAAGTCTTTACATGGCATCAGATCTCAGTGACCTGGTATAAACTGCAACTTTTGTCTGGAAACATGTGTGACAACTGTATGACTAGTTCTGACAAAATTTCATGGTGCTGCCAGTAATCAGCTTTCCATGGTCTCAAAAATATTGCTGATGAGAAGCATTCACACCACTCCCTTGGCTGTTGCTTCTTAGTCTCAGAAACACCACACTTGCCTTTAGCAACAACCAGCAGATGGGTTCAGCTGGTGACTGTAAGTGTGATATATATCATGATTAATTTCTGATCTTTTGTTTGAAAGTACTGGGAAGTACCAAGGACTGAGATATTGGACACATCAGCTTAAAATCCAATGTTAGTCATTTTGAAAAAGCTACCACTTGTGGAAGGTAGTGTTAACTGTAAAAAGTAAAAGCTTATGTATCTGTATCTGTATCTGTGTCTGTATGTTTCACAAGAGGACCCTATGTTTATCCTGCTGGAAATTGGCAGGGGTGTGCAGCTGCCCATGTCAGGTTTGTGTGTTAGGGGAGCAAGTCAAGGCAATGTTGGGGGAGGGGGGGGGGGGGGAATCAAATCATTCCAAGATACTGTGTGCTAACATAAAGCTACCATTTTTATGTTTGCTGCTTGGTTTGAACACAATAGTGGTGCCTTTTTGATCCATGGTCACTGTAAATGATAGCCAGCATATGAGCATGCATCTGGATTCCAGAATACTTTTTGAACTTCCCAGTGCCTCATTAGTCCTTCACAGCAGCTGTCTGCCTGCAGGCTGCTGGGTGGGTTAAGCACTCTGTAATCCACGCGAGGTACTGCGCTATTCTCGTGTGGCGTGACAAACGGCGCCAGCTCACTGTCTCTGCTGGAGCGGCCGTCTCCCGTGTCCGGAATGGCGCGTGTGGCAACCCCATCGTCTCGCGCCTCTCGTGCATAGTGTGGCGTGTGGTGCCCAATGTGATGGTGCTCTCATCAGTGTCTGCTTGGTGGGCCACACTGCTCTCCAGGGGCGCATGTGTTGATTATGTTCAGCTCTGCAGCATCGTCACGGGCATTGCTCAAGTCTCGTGTCTGGGGTGTCCCCACTGTTCACATGGATGAGTGGATGTGAGGTTAATCTATTTCTGTGCCCCTCGTAACTTTATTCGCCGTATTCCAGCACTCGTGTGTCTGATTCAGAGGTTCAGGTTCAGATTCAGATTGCACTTGACAACAAATCCAAACCTGTATGGCTTGCCCTTTCCATGCCTCATAATATGAAAATCTGATGAGTCAAATCACAAAACAGCAGTTCAGTGCACGCTTGTCGTTTAGTGATGCTTCTACATTCCCTGCGTATCATCGTGTTGCACATGCAGAAAACGTCACTCCAGATGGTAGTTGAAACTCCGCTAGTTTGCATTAAATGGAAGCCGGCCGTATTCCTGCACTCCACCGTAGCAAAAAGGCAGCGGCCTAATCTCCTGATTTGGTACCGCGGTAACAAGTGTCGGATGGCACCCCTTGTCTCGCACTGTAGCCGCACCGTGTCTGATATCTCTCCCCCCCCCCCTCCGATACACTGACCCTGCTGTTCAGGCCTGCCCCCTCAGAACTGAATTTGAAGCCTGTTCACCATATCCAACTGCAGTTACACATTTGAGAGTGACTGATGCCACATTAGACATCCCCCATTTTTCGGTGTGTACCCAAACTACCCATTTTGCCATCACTGGGTCAAAGAAAAACATACTTTGCAATGCTTATTCCTATGCTGTTGGATGAGGTTGCGAGTTACGTTGCCTTCTCATAAGCCTTTGAAAATGTTTAAAGTTTCATTCTGTGTGATGTAGTACTGACTGTGCTCTACCAAAGACATTCAGGGCTCATTTTGAGCACAATGACTTCGATTACTTCTGTTCTGACTTCTGTTACTGATGAACGGCCACTGCAATGGCAGAAATAAGATGTGTGTACAGCAGGATAGCAGTAATACTTTCGAACTTCAAGCCACGTTACGAATCACAGCAGCTCCATGCATCCTAAAATAACCCAAAGCTGTGTATGGCAGAGCTTTAGCATACATTACAAAGGCTAAAACATCTGCCCAGAATCTAACACATGACACCCGTCGAAATAGTAGAAATAGTACGTGCCTGTAAAACAGGACTTGAAGCTGGCCATGGCGTCATGAAGAGTTGGTCGGCGCAGCCATGTGAGCTGCGAGCCGGCACGGCCGGCCGACCGGTGCCGCGTCCAGAAGACGGCGCGCCGACGCCCACCCGGCTGCCGTGTTACAGATGAACTTCCAGCAGTCGCTGTTCCCGAGCCTGGAGCCGGCCATCACGTGCCAGCCGTGGAGCCGGCTGGACCGGCGCACCGACGCCGAGGCCGAGCTGCGCGAGCAGGAGCAGGAGCAGCTGGAGCTGCTGAACCGGCTGCGCCAGCTGGGCAGCGAGGCGGCGCCGCTGGGCCGCTCGGCCGCCGACGGCGCCGACGAGGACGAGGAGCCCGAGGAGGATGAGTACGACGACGACGACAACGACGACGACGAGGACGAGGACTCTGAGATGGCCGAGGACCTGGACCCGCCGCTGGACCAGCGCTTCTGAGGACAGGGTCACGCCCCACGGCACCGGGGCCGTGACCGGGTGACGGCCTAAGGTCGCGCCGGCCCTGCCCGGCTGAGCGTGGCAGGCGTGCCTCAGCGCTGAGCCTGACCGGGACGTGGCTCGTGTCTGTCCAATCAGAAGGGCGACTGGGGTCAAGCTTTTCCAGGTCGAGCCGTGAACTGGGTCAAGCCTTTCAGCCCAGGCGGGGACGGACGGCCTTATGAAACAGTTCCGGGCGGAACTTGTGCGGTGCCCGGGTGAGGCTGCTGGTTGAGTGTTGTCCAGGCTCCTTGCAGATTATGGTAGTCGTTTTGCAGTGGGGCTGAGTGCGGAGCGTACTGTGGGTTCAGAAAGTCTGCATTGTCCCGAGCAGACCGTCATATTCGTGAGGCTTAGTCGGATACGCGCTGTGCCAGGGCTCATCATTTTATGTGTTAGCGGACTGCTTTGCTCGTGAAGGTGAGTCCGAAGCGGACAGCGGCCTGTAATTTGTTCTCAATCTCTGGTGTGAGACGGCAGAGCGTAGACAACGACTAGCCTGCTTTGTAAATAAGTGTATTTCTGGCATAGGGCCTGATTTGAATGTAGATGAGCTGTGTTTTGTCATTATCACCATTTCTTTGGCATTTCTGTGGCATCTCCTCAACGATGTTCCTGATGTGCTTGTCACCGTTTCGAGCAAAGTTTCTGAAGTACTCGAGCTCTGCCCGTTTCATTACGAAATAGATTGAGCTATTGCCAGCCCCACTTCCGCACTTGTTGACGAGTTTTGTGCAGAAGCCTATTGCGTGCCGACTGTTGCCTTACTGTCTGTCTTACTGACTGTCTTAAGGAGCCAAATACAATCAACACTGGGCCCGCAGCTTTCAGAGGCGTCAACAGGCAGCCGTCCTTCACGGCTGTCGCCTGCACCGCCTCCTGACGTGGCGGGGTGCCGACCGCTCGTGCCCGTGTAGTGGGAGTGCGCTGTTGGTCCCGGGCGGCATCCGACGGCTGAAGGTGGCTGACCGGGGACCGCCGGCCGCGGGGGCTGCTGTTTATTGATGCTCCCCGCAGCTGACGACGGCAGGGGACGGACGAGTTGGCTGCGCTGCGGCGGCGGAAACACTTGCTTCGATTCCCATCGTACAAGCCAGGCCGCCAGCCGGTGTCTCTAGAGGGCTTGTGGTCTGCTGTCAGCAGCAGGGACGTCCTGTGAGACCGTGACGCAATTACTCGTACGAGACGGGCAATACGCGGCGGATCATTGCCCGGGCTGTCAATTCCTGGACCGTGGTGTCCCCGCCCTGGAAGACGATATTGTGCGTGCTACTCGGTGGGGAGATGGTGTTGTGTACAGGCCGAGTAGCACGTGGCATTTGCTGTATTCTCATTAACACAATATTCCTGTATGTGTTGTGAATATATAACAATAAAGCGCGTATAGCTCATGCAATGGCACGAATGAAAAATAAAGGATGAATCTATGCTACTTTTGCAGATAATTGACCAGGTTTCTCGCACGAAAGGAACGCTTAGATTCTTAGATTTAGATGATGCACTAGCTCATTGAACCGTCGGGAGTTATTGTTGTTACTGACATTGTTATTACCGTTATTAGTGTTTCACTCCGCGCCATTTTGGCAGTCAGGGCCACAAGTTACTGTCTTAAGATGCTGAAATTAAGCCCCAATTTTGTATTCGCGTTACCCTGCCATCAGAGTCAAACATTTCCGACATTCGACTCACCATCAGACCTCAGTTTCCCTGCGCCTCCCCTCGCACCCTCCCGTCGGCGCCCGTCCTCCCGCTGCCCGCCCTCCCGCTGCCCGCAGCCTATTGCGCGCAGTACTCAGTAATCCGCCCGCGAGTGGGTGCGCTATTCTGGGGCGGCCGGACGAACGGCGCCAGTTTATCATCTCTGCCGGGGCGGCCGTCTCCGGCGCCCGGGCGGACGGCGCGGACCCCGAGGACCGACTGTTGCGCGTCGTCGCCTCGCCCATCTCCATCTCGCCTCGCATCCCCCGCCCCATCCGCCCCGTGTGCAAAAGGTGGCGCGTGGTGTCCGGTGCAACAGCCACCGCGTCAGCATGCGTGCGGTGGCTCCATTGCTCTCCAGTCGGCCAAGTATTGATTCCGTGCGGTGCTCTACGTCATTCTTGGTAGCGTTTAAGTTGATTTACACTCTGCCGCTGGTAGGCTGACACTTGGGTAATCCGTTTTTGCTCTGGGCTCCGTTTTTACCATTTATTTTCCGTATCTCACCGCTCACCTGTACGGAGTCCCACCCCTCTTTTCAGTTATCCTGACGTCGATACCTGTCTGAGGTCCCTTGCTTCCTCCACACGATACGTTTTCAGAATGTCTCCAGCTATCTTCCCTTACCCCGATTTTAGCGTCTTTCCGGGCATATGCCCCACCTCCTCCGTGACGCCGTGTGCGCCGTGTGCCTCCAGGCTAGGCGATGAGCGTCGGTTCAGATGGCGTATCGTCCTCGGACGGCATTCTGCTGGCCACGGCCGGCTACGACCACACCATCAAATTCTGGGAGCCTCACACCGGCGTCTGCAAGCGCACCTGCCAGCACCAGGACTCGCAGGTCAACGCGCTCACCTTCCAGCCGGACCGCACGCTGCTGGCCGCCGCCGGTGGGTGTTGCGCCAGTCACACGCTCCCAGCGTGGGTTTTGTTGTGAGCTTTCAGGAGCTTCCGCGCGATTTACGAATTTTTAACTATAGATGATGTTCTAAAACAGCTATGTGCTTTTCGCGCGGATTTCTCGCGGTGTTGGCTGCTGTGGACCTAATTTGACCACGCCTGTGAGGACCGAACTGTGGCCGCACCTGGCCTGCCACCATGCGAAGCCATCCCACCCCGCCGTCACTGGGTCCGGCCGAAGCGCTGCCACGGCTCAATCTCGGGCCGCTTCAATCTCGTCGCCGAGAACACTCATTCGGAGGCCGTACGGAGCTCCCCGGAACCACTCGCCGCCGCGGCGGAACTCTGGCCCCGTCGAGTGTCGGCCGCTGCCTCCAGACACCTCGATCGACGCCAGGCGTCGTCCGCGGCCGGCCGTTTTTGTGGTGCACTCTCGGTGATGACGCCGCGCGGCCGAGAGCGGCGCCGGTAGGCCGGCTCGAGTCCTGGTGCGTGCGCTCGGACCGGCCGTGGACGGGCCTCCCGCTCCGTCAGCAGCTGTGTTGGACGGCCCAGAGCTGGCGCCCGCAGCGGCCCGGCGCTGCGGGCGCCAGCTGAAGTGTTATTGGACCTTTCGCGAGGCGGTATTGTAGGTCGTTGGGACGAATTAAACGGGGACAGTCAAAGCAGTAACAGTGATAAGAGTAAGAATAAAATCAGTAACAATAGAAGCAGTGAGAGCAATCCCAATTTGTTTTAACCGATTTGATTTAACTGATAACCAATAGGGTTAAGTTGATTTTTGCCGATAACCAATTTAACAAGCAATGTCATCCAGTTTGCAGGCATCATTAGACTGAAAAACGCGTTGCCTCGCGCACCGTCTGGATTTGCCCGAAAGGTAGGCATGGTGCTATTCGACATTCTCCACTAACACTGCATTTACGACGCCATAAATTATCTGCGGCCGACCATCTACGGCGACGAATTGGCAATACCGCCCCGGTAAGGCTATCCCAACAGCGCCATGTTCACTGATTCAAACGTATGCCCTGAACGCCGATCCGTTTAATGTGTACGAGCTCTCGGATATAGCAATGTATGTACTGGATACGGAAGGAAGCGGGCTGTTGTGCGTTCGCCTGATAGGGAGCGGAGCACCCCAGGCGAGCACCACTGGCGGCGGCGCCGGCCGCTCAGCTGTGTCGTGCCTCCGACGTCCCAGCCGCAGCGTTCAGGGGCAGCGCACGCTGCTGTTGAGCGTACTCAGCCCTGGCGGGATGCTCCAGCTGCTCCGAGCACGTTATCAGAGCCGTCTTCGGACCCGTGCGTAATCAGGCATGCGTGCTTGATCAAACACACGCGGGATCAAACACAGGCTCGTGATCAAATACACACGTAGGCAAGGCTTCGGCCCGCACAAGTATGTAACGAAAGAACGAATGCTAGGCCGCCGACCTTTCGCTGCTGGGTAAGAGGGCGATGTGCAAACCGGACTTCCTTCCGATGGAGCGGGACGGCGGCATAATGAGCCGCGCCGCTCGGTCGTCAGAGTCTGAGCCCGGTGCCGGGGCGACGCTGGCGTCAAATGAAGCAGCGGGCTCCTGCCACCTTTAGCTGGGGGGCGAATCACGTGCCGGCGCGGCCGACACCGGCGGAGCCGGCTGGTAACTCAGCGAGCTTCGGGCACATGCTTATGATATCTGTTGAGCCGCTCCCGGAGATCTGGGCAAGCTCATGGTGGAAGGTCAGTTTAAGATGAAACTCGATTTGCGCTCAGCCATTTGCCCACACAGTCACTTCAGAACACATGTGTCCAAATTACGTCATAACCGGGCAGTTGGGGCGGGGGAGGGGAGGAGCAGCGCTATGCCCCCAACGGTCCCGGAGATCTGGTGGAAATAGCCAGAAGTACGCCGCTCTCCCAGACGTGTCTGACGGATGGCGGCCGTTAACTTCATCAAGTTCACGCATCAAGCCAGGCGTGTGTGGCGGACAAAATTAGGCCGGGGTCTGCTGCCGGTCGTAAGGCGGATGGCATCAGCAGCCTGAGCAGGCGCCGTCCGTCCCCGCCGCCGGCCGGGTTGGGTGGAGGTCGGTGCCGCCGCCGGTCCACCGCCGGTCGATGTCCCGGGTCGGGACCCGCACTGCCGCGGGCGCGTCCTCGGTCGCGGCGTGCGGAGGAGGCGGCGCTCGTGTGAGATACGGCGTTGCGGCTCGGTCGGCGGCGCTGCCGCTCTGGAGCGCGCCGACCGGAGGGATATTAATACGGCGGAGGAGCTGATCAGTCGGGATACCGGCTGATATAGTGGCCCTCCGGCCTCCTGGTCTGGCTGGGAGGATATTGGTGACCGGTATGAGGCGCCCGCTTGCAGAGCTCGCCCGAAGTGTCCGACTGGGCTGCGGCGGACGGTCCACAGATCTCTAAAGCAACCGCCATCTGAGCAATAGGGGAACTCCTACTGCTAAACTTAGCATGAGGGCGATTTTCTTTTTAGCGCGGCACCTACATGAAGTATCCTGCAATGAATTGTCGCGAACCAGCCTCCTATTTCAATGCCGTAAAAGCGTCTGTCAGAAGTATTCCCGTGTTAAGGTGAGCTACGGAGGAGCGGGGCTCCACTTTGATTGGAATAGTACACATAGCTGACCTTTGACTATATGCGTGCAGCGCAGTTTCGAAGACCTTCAGGCTCATCAATTACGTCTGCTGCTATGTAAAAACTCGTGTCTATTGAATTCTGTCATGCCCCGCTGTCGTTGCCGGGGTGCTGACAACGCGCCAATGCTTACACTAATGACGCCTGGCTGCCGCCTCCCCGCGCTGTCCCACGCTCGCGTGCCGCCGGCGTCTGCTTTGCCGGTCTCCCCGGCCGGCTCCTCCGCGGAGTGTGTTGTCCTCACACAGCGGCCCGACCGTGCCGGCGGGCCGCGCCCCGGCACCGGGGGTGGCCGCTGAGCCACCGCCGCCGCCACCGCCAGGCTACCAGCACGTCCGCATGTACGACGTCAACTCGACCGACATGAACCCCATCATCAACTTCGAGGGCGTCAGCAAGAACGTGGTGGGCGTGGGCTTCCAGCGCGACGGTCGCTGGATGTTCACGGCCAGCGAGGACGGCTCCGCCAAGATCTGGGATGTTAAGTGAGTGCCCTGCGCCCCTCCCTGTCGGCGTCCCTCTGATTACCCTGCTGGGTTAATTGCTCGATCGCGTACTTGTGCTGGGCTTCGTGAGCTTAGATCTCCACCTACTCCCCGCGCGCTGTGACCCGGTGAGCTGTGTGCCGGGTGTCGGTAAAATTGCGAGACGGGTGGGACAGTGGCTGATTTGGATTTTGAAGCAAGTTGCTCGCAGTTTATTTGCCTTCATTCGATTCAAAAATATGTCTCGAAACCCGCTCTGAAGCAGCGATGAGAGGTGCTAAACTTTGATGTGCCTTTACAGGAGATTGAATGAGTCGTGTAGCGCTGTTCCTATCAGAGACGGGTCGTCCATTTGTGTCCTTTGGTCTTTTTGCCGACTTTTCTGTGCAGCATTGCCGCGTGATTCATGCTATCACATCTGTGACTTGTAGCAGTCTGGCGGCCTGGCGATGATGAGATGTTACACAGCTGGGCGCCGTCCTAGTCGTACCCTGGCGGCCGTCGACGCTGACGGCGCGCTCCGCTCCGTGCCGCAGGACCGGGGGACTCCACTGCCAGCGGGTGTTCCAGATTGATCAGCCCATGACCTGCATCGTGCTGCACCCCAACCAGGTGGAGCTGTTCATCGGCGACCAATCGGGGACCATCCACCAGTGGGACCTCCGGTCCGACCAGCGCGCCAAACTGGTGAGGTCCCGCCTCCCGTCCGCCCGTCAGCATAGCCACTAGTACGCTCCCGCCGCCCGTCCGCCCGTCAGCATAGCCACTGGTACGCTCCCGCCGCCCGTCCGCCCGTCAGCATAGCCACTGGTACGCTCCCGCCGCCCGTCCGCCCGTCAGCATAGCCACTGGTACGCTCCCGCCGCCCGTCCGCCCGTCAGCACAGTCACTGGTACCGTCCCGCCGCCCGTCCGCCCGTCAGCATAGCCACTGGTACGATCCCGCCGCCCGTCCGCCCGTCAGCATAGCCACTGGTACGCTCCCGCCGCCCGTCCGCCCGTCAGCACAGTCACTGGTACCGTCCCGCCGCCCGTCCGCCCGTCAGCATAGGCACTGGTACGATCCCGCCGCCCGTCCGCCCGTCAGCATAGGCACTGGTACGATCCCGCCGCCCGTCCGCCCGTCAGCATAGCCACTGGTGCGCTCCCGCCGCCCGTCCGCCCGTCAGCATAGCCGCTGGTGCGCTCCCGCCGCCCGCCCGCCCGTCAGCGTATGCACTGGTACGATCCCGCCGCCCGTCCGCCCGTCAGCATAGTCACTGGTACGATCCCGGCGCCCGTCCGCCCGTCAGCATAGCCGCTGGTACGATCCCGCCGCCCCTCCCCCCGTCAGCATAGTCACTGGTACAATCCCGCCGCCCGCCCGCCTATCAGCGTAGCCACTGGTACGGGCCCTCCGCCCGTCTGCCCGTCAGCATAGGCACTGGTACGATCCCGCCGCCCGTCCGCCCGTCAGCATAGCCACTGGTACCGTCCCGCCGCCCGTCCGCCCGTCAGCATAGGCACTGTTGCGCTCCCGCCGCCCGCCCGCCCGTCAGCATAGGCACCGGTACGATCCCGCCGCCCGTCCGCCCGTCAGCATAGCCACTGGTACCGTCCCGCCGCCCGTCCGCCCGTCAGCATAGGCACTGTTGCGCTCCCGCCGCGCGCCCGCCCGTCAGCATAGGCACTGGTGCGATCCCGCCGCCCGTCCGCCCGTCAGCATAGCCACGGATCGCCATGGCGACAGACGGAATAATCAAAGCCGCCCATTAGCGATGCAACCAATTGAATGTTAACGATGTTTGGTCTGCACAAACACTCACGAGGTGCTCTATTTGGAAGCGGAAATATGTGCAAGCTCAATGGCGATTTCGCGTTCTTAAGCCTGAAAACGCTGGTTAAGAGCTGTTTTAACGCGTATGTTTAGCCTGGGATTTACAAGTATTCACGATTCGATGCGCTCTGCTTGGGCTAAACTAGTGATTACTCCTCGATTATTTGACAAAGGCGCGAGCGTAAAGGTAGAAGCAAGAGTGCCATCTCTGGAAGCTGCCACAAAACTTCTGCAATGCGAGCACGCAGCTATTGGTGAATATAGTAATAAACACCTTCGCACGTGGGTCATCCAAAGCACAGTACCAGAAACCAATATCACTACATTTCCGGATACCAAAAGCCGTTGACGCTGGCGTCAGGCCTGGCTTCAGCCGTCTGCTCCCCGGTGTCGGTGTACCGTTCTCCCGCCGTTGCGTCGTTTATAGTGTACAATCTAAAGTTTGGCTCTGGTCGCCTGGGTGTACAGTGTTCGGCCTCGGGTCGGCTCCGTCAGCTCACCCTGCCGTCATACGTCCCACGGGGGAGGTGGGGGGGTATCAGCTGGTCCAGTGCATTGGCCGGGACACGGTGCCATGACGCTGACATGCCGACATGACGCATGGGGTATGAAACCATGTGTCAACAGCTATCCGCGTCAAGTAGGAGAGCGTGACGGCATGTGGAGAAATCCGCTCCTTGCTGTCCGATACTGACTGGACTTTTTGTCGACGTTTGCGGCAGACTGTGTGCATTTGAGCATTATCTTGATAAAATGTCATCAGTTATCCTTAAAAAGATGTATATGACAGGGGCTTACGCTGCCGCTAATACACAAGTGTAACTGCAACTATCAATGCACTGTTCACCCGCCAATCACACGAATTGTTGAAAGGCTCAACCATTTGGGTGCAATGTTTCACGGCGAAACTTTGGTGTCAATGACAATATTGGAGCTCATTTCACACACCAAAGCCCGACTATGATTGCCATGTTTGAGTGTAGTGACGAAATACCCTATCTTTGGGAGCTTGCGCCACTTTCGCCAAAATATGCTGCTTCTGTGGTTTCATACGATTTTCCTCTTTCATTTTGCCATATTTTCCATACGAATTGATGATTAAGTTCATCGCGCGTGTTTCGTGGCCACAGGCTGGTAAGATAAAAAAAAATGTGATGAGGGAATATAGATGTCTTATCGCAGCTGTGAGCAATGAGCGCGATGAGTCAGTGCCAGAAACACATATTTCGAATGGAAAAGCCCCTAAGAGGGAATTCGAGAAGGCCAGGTTTGCAGTGTAAATGGCGGGATACGTGTGTGTTCATGTTCATTTTGCCTAAGAGACCGCGAATTCCTTTTAAAGAACCCTTTTCGAAGGTGCTGTGACCTGGAATGCCTGCATTCTCGATATTGGCGAGATGTGACCGACAGTCCGTTTGTTGGAGCTCCGTCCAGCTCCGGCTCCGGACAAGACAACGCCCACCATCTACTACAAAAACAGAAAGGTCACCCAACTCATCATGAGGAATAACATAACAGCCAACTCTAACCGCTTGGAAAAATCGACGCCGTTTACCAGTTTCGTTGTGACAGGATATTCCTGGCTAAAAAAACAATCAAACTATGTTGGTGTCACTATCACCACACTTTCAAGCCGGTTGGCGATGCACTTGGTTGACGGTGCTCCAAAAAAGCATGTGAGAAAGAACGCGGCGGGAACATCACCCGAGACGATCTCACCAGAAACACCACTATCATAACATCATCAAACGGGAGGACGCTTTATATTTCGGAGGATGTCACGATGAAAACGTCATCACCGGAACTAAACAAGCAAACCAACCGCTCAGTCACCCTTCGCGTCATTTAGGGACGATCGGTACCATCCGTAGATATTCAGCACGTATTTACCGCTTGAATTCTTATGCTCCTAAAAAATGTCAAACACCTAATTTCAACTTTATACAATCTGACGATCGAACTAAACTTGATACCTACTTGTTAAGCCAACTTTGTATGGTATAACTTAATATAGCTGTAGACAATTAAATAGTCGGTTTTGTTCTGCGTAAAACGTTAGATATGCCTCGTAAAGCTACTGACCTATCACAGGTCAAAGTCAGGGCATGACTATTAGCAAAGGCAATTCCAAGGAAATTTTTCGAACAGATGCACATTGGAAAACTTGCTTTATCGGGTACATTTTGACTCTAATTTTGCACTCCTGCATCAATAGGACATCAGTAGTTCCTTATGTTGAGCTTCTCCGTTGAACATGCCGCCCCGTGTTAGCTCTTAACACTGACCGTAAAGTGAAACGTCAAAATATAATCGAGGGGTTTGGGTCATTTTGACCTTTAGGTCAGCTGTCACTGACCTGACATGAAAACAAGCGACTTTCTGCTAAGAAAAGGTATCGAAATTATAACTGGGTGCGTGGGTGGGTCTAGGGGCACTTAAGATACTGACCCCGAGTTTTATCTCGTTTGACCTTATTTGGCATTAAGGTCAAGACCTAGGAACCTAAGAAATGCCACAAATGAATTTACGTACAACTCTACATATTTTGTGAATTTGGCATCTCTAGCTCTGAATTTTTAGACATCAGAAGGTTCAATTCACCCCCCCCCCCCCCCGCCAGAGCGCGTCACATGCAGCCGACCATCCGGGCACAGGTCAAAATTTCTCACAATGAGAGCATATAGTAGACGCATGAATTACAAATTTGAAATCTAGGAGGCCTTAGCATTGCTTGATAGGCCGAAATGACTAGCATTTCCTTGTGTGAAGTCTTGGCTAAGTGTTAAAAAATTATCAGCGGTCAAGACTCGGCGCACAATCTGTCGCAGCACCTCAATTAAGGCAACGCCGTACCGCCGCGGAGGTGAACGGCGCACCATTCACATTACCGCAGCCGAGATAAGACCGCGGCCGCCGCCTGACCGGCGCCCCAGACCGGACGGCTGTGCGCGCCTGTGGCCCCGGCCCGTCCGCAGGCGGTGGCTGCTGGCGGGAGTAGTCGGTGGCCGGTTCCGGTCCGAGCACTCGGTGCGGTGGCGAGCGGTCGCAAACGACCGCTGTCCCGAACAGCGGGTGTCGATACGTCACCCGCACGCGGCGGCCGGCTGGCTGCAGTGGCAGCTTGACTCCGCACAGGGGGGCAACTGTGTACGGAGCAGGCCGAGCCGGGCAAATGGCATCACGCCAAAGCCGCGACGTCATTTACCAGGCCGGAGGTCAGGTGTATCGTTAACCGGCTTGAAAGTGCGGTGGCAGTGACACCGACATAGTTTGATTGCTTTATTAGCCAGCAATCTCTTATGTCACAACGAAACTGGCAAACGATGCCGATTTTTTCAAGCGGTCAGAGTTGGCTGTTATGTTATTCCTCATGATGAGTTGGGTGACCTTTTTGTTTTTGTAGTAGATGGCGAGCGTTGTCTTGTCCTGCCTGATTGACTTACCTCCTAAAAATGGACATCCTGAAAGGCACTCAACCTTCCGGCTAATAAGCTAGAAGGTGGAGAGGTTAGAATTTATTTACTAATCACTAAGGGTTAAGAGTTTATTTACTAAGTTCCGGTAGAAGAGACGGTGCAAATTCTGCCTGAAAACATCTATCGTCACCCAACCATCCCTCCTCCTAAACTCGTCCATCCCTTCTGGAGAATCTCCTGCGAACATGTACGGCAGAGGCACCGTTTCGTGCACCAGACGACAAACTCTACCGACAAAAGAATGGAGTGACCATTGGGTCCGCCCTGGGACAGCTTTTTGCCAACGCCTATATGTGCCACGCGGAAAACAAAGTCTTGTAAATGCATCTCTCTGTCCCGCACTTTATGCACGACATGTCGATGACATTTTCGTAGACGTCAGCAACGAAAGACAACTGATCGAACTAAATAATGCAATGGAACAGGATTCAGTGTTTCGATTCACATGCAAACTAAACATCAATAACAGCATTTTATTTTTAGACATCATGTCATCACTGACATCACTGCTGACCGACGATTCGTGACAACAGTGCACAAAAGCCAGCAGATACTGGAGGTGCCTCAGCGCCACAAGCGAGTGCCCCGACCGGTACAAGATCAGTGTAGTGCGTTCCCATCCCCGAAGAGCCTTTAAACCCTGCTCTGATTGAACGAAGCTAGACAGTGAGCCGCATCGCATCAAACAAGTCCTGGTAAATAATGGCTTCTCCAACAGCGCCACCGACCATGAGACCAGCGGCTTTATGTCACGATATCAGACAAAAACTGACGCCATCAAACATCAACCGAATCCAATCAAGCTGTTCTATCAGAATCAAATGCTGATAGGTGTACGACAGACGAGCGTATCCTCAATACAAAATACCTGAAAACGTCAAGCCAGTCAGCCAGGATGACAAGATTACGCTCACCATCTACCACGACAACAGGGAGGTCATCCAACTCATGAAAAATAACCTCACAGCCAGCTCTGACCCCTTGAAACGAACCAACGTCGTTTACCAGTTCCGTTGTAACATGGGAGATTGCACACTCCTAGGGCAATCAAGTTTCGTTAGTGTCACTACCACCACACTTCCAAGGCGGTTGATGATGCGCTTGGCTGACAGTGCTCCAAAAGAGCACGTGCGAAAAGAACATGGCCGGAACATCACCCGAGACAATCCCACCAGTAACATCACCATCATAGCATCATCGTCTGACAGGAGGAAGCTTTATTTTCTGGAGGCTGTCACGATCAAAGCATCGTCCCTGGAACTGAACAAGCAAACCAACCCCTCAGCCACTCTTCACGTCGTTTAGGGACGATTGATACCATCCGTAGATAGTATATCTTGCTATTCAGTACGCGTTTTGACGCTTGAATTCTTATGTTCCTAAAAATGTTAACCGCTTAATTTCGACCATACACAATTTGACGATCGAACTAAACTTGGCGATACCTGGTTGTTATACCTCACTGGTTATACCTGTTATCATATAATGCTATCATATATTCGTCACCTGTATGTTGTATATGTGTACATTTGAAAATGGGAGATGTAATTTTGAAACGTCAGCTCAATTAATGTATGCCAAACTTTGGCCAATTACTTTTTGGCCTCAGTGATGAGCAGGCAACCACAATCAGGAAACTAGAGCAAATGCAGAAAAAACTTATTAAACGTACCTACACCAAGGTCTTTAACAAAACACACACACACACACACACACACACACACACACACACACACGCACGCACGCACGCACGCACGCACGCACGCACGCACGCACGCACGCACGATATCCCTCTCCCTTTCTCTCTCTCTCTCTCCCCTCTCTCTCTATCTGTTATGATATATATATATATATATATATATATATATATATATATATATATATATATATATATACTCCCTGGCGGATCCTTGTTAGAGATTGCGTTGATGCGCACAGGTTTCAACACAAAACCAGCAGGCACCGAACGATGAACTTGGCTGCGCCGTCTGATACCGGATTGGCTGGGGAACCTCTCTCAAGCCGGTCCGACAGCGGTCAACAAACCCCAGATCTGTAGTATATTGTGTGCGCTCTTCCAAGATCAGTGCTGCAGACACCTATCAAAATTTGACCTACGGGTGAAGAGTTGCATGAGTGCGGGCGTGAGGGCGAAGGTCTCGAGCCCTCATATTTAATTCGCAACGACTACCAGTGCTGCCGCTGTCCTTTGCGCAGACTCGCAACCACTTTGGTTCCGTTCTGTGCAGCTGCAGCTAGGTTTCTTACCTCCGTTCCTTAACACTTGTTCGGGTGGGTGTCAAATTGCCCCCCCCCCCCGCGAAGGTTTTTTCCGGAATGGCTTTCGAACGGCGCGGCGTAGCCGCGCCAAATTTTGCATAGCTGTAGAAAATTGAATAGCGGATCGTTTGATGTAAAAGTTTAGATGTGCCTTGTAAAGTCGCTGACCTATGGCTGGTCAGTCAGGCGATGGTTTCAGCGAAGGCAATTTCTAGGGAATCGTTCAATGTCATACAACAACGGGGTGTTTGACGAAGCCACACATCTCTGAGATGCTTTCTTAGGCAACACAAACATTGAATGAGCAAATTACGTTGACCTAAGGTCAGGTATGAAGGTTAGACCAAGGTCAAAACCAACCTGGTTTATCACTGTAGGGCTTGCTGTATGGGATAGTTTCTGGTACTCGTTTCGAATTTATTGATAGCAGGGACCGCATTATACATCTTCCATTAACTTGTTAGATGTCAATAGGTCATTGACCCAGGATAGCTCAGGTCGATAGGCTTTTAGGAACATACTGCCTAGCGTAATCCTTGTCGATTATTCAAATGCGAAACTCAGAGCAGTTTTGTATTATATTAGTCACCATGGCCTTCAAAAGGTCAAACGAGGTCACTCACCTTGATTGAGCTTGTGATCTTTCACTTAGAAGCAGACATCTAGGTTCTGGGGGCACTTTGGAGACCAACCTGGAATTTGACTTCGTTTGACCTTATTTGACCTGAAGGTCATTACCTAGGAATCTCAAGCTTTGACCTAAGTGAATTTACGTACAGGTCAACACACGATGTAAATTTGGTGTCTCTAGCTTTCGTAGTTCCCGAGATCTCAGGGGAGCCAAATTGGTTCCCCTGCCCGAGCGAAGGGTATCTAGCTGACCACCCGGGCGCATGTTAAAGTAACAAGTGTAACCAGACCATTTTCCGCTATGTGCTTACAACGCTTGTCGCCGACGATCCATACTCCCCACAATCTCGAGCTTACGGCTCTCATGTGCGATCGTTTTGATTTCAATCACGCACAGTCCTATCTTTATCTAGGGCGAACTTTATCCGCATGATCCCTGTCGCTACCTACTACCATTTGACCGCGATCATTCGCATGCGCACTTTTGTCTTACCGCCTTCCGAATTTTTATCTGTGACAGGCTTTTTTGCTGGCAACGGTCATCCCATATCATATTTTGCCTGCGATCTGGTTCATGCAACATTTACGCACGATCATTTGCTGTTCGTCTTTTGCCCGCATGACCTTTTCCACTCGATCTTCTGCGAGCGATATTTTTCCGCACGACCATTCACCTTACGCTCTTTTACCCGCACATCCATTTCCAATTGCGGCCATTCCTTATTGATCAAACATTGCAATTGCTGGCATTACCTGGGTGCAAAATACGAACAACATGGATGCAAGACATTCAAGCTCGCGACGATTGTGACGGACGTAACGCACTCGTATGGCTAATTTTCCGCATTCCGGTTGGCAAAATGCCATTGTAGAGATGGAGGGTCGCGAGAGATTTTGTTGTGTCGGCAGAAAAGAAACATTAACATCTACTTGACAGTGTTACGCACACTTGAGCGCTTGATTACATCACATATCACGGCTAAGGCGCTGTGTGATTTATGCAAGATTGTAGTAAACACTTTTAAGGGCTAGAAGCGCAGACTCCCGAAATCTGATTTCGCCGTCTGTACCAGTAAGCTTTTATCATCGTCCGCATCAAATGACATGATACTGGACAAGCTCGCCCAGAACTCCGTCAAAACTGGTGTTCTAATTACACTCCTGAGTGTAGACATGTGTGCTCCTGGTCAGCCTGGCCGCGTTCCCACGTGACGCACGAGCCAGACACCCTCAGCACCGCCTTCTGACGACGTGCAGACCCTTATCATAGCCATATGCGCTTAGTGAAGCATGCGGCTCCTTCGGGCAGTATTTGTATGCTATCTTTTTCCTTGCACTGCGCCACGCTCTCGTCCCGTGGTCCGTGATGTGCAGCAGCCGGCTGCCCAACTGCCGTCCGGCTGATCAGCTGCCTTTCGGCTGTCCAGCTGCTGTCTGGTTGCTCAGCTGCCGTCCGGCTGCTCAGCTGCAGCCCGATTGTTCAGCTGCCGTCGGATGCACAGTCCTTGGTCCAGAACCATGTGCCTGGTCGTGGGTGGTCGACCGGGGTAGTTGCGTCGGGGGGGGGGGGGGGGGGTCAGAAGCAATATGTGCGGCCGGTCCTCCGGTCTGGAAATTATTACCTGGGTCTGTACCAGGATATTCTACAGGGCAAAGTCAGGACACGGTCAGTAAATGAGACGCTGGTCGGACCGTATCGGGAGTGGCTACCCTCGCTGACATCCCCTCCCTCCAATACCGGCTCCCTCTCCTTTCTGTCTGGACGCAAGGAGTTAGTGTTGTCTTATTGTGCGTCACAAAATGTATGTGGTTTCGATGGTAGTGTCAACGTTGCTAAATTAATAGGAACTGTGGTGGTGTAAGGGAACATCATGCTACCTGTGTCTTTTCCGAGATATTCTGAACAGTACGTCTGGTGTGCTTGCAGGTGTCGTTTTATGACAGGGTGCAATGTGACGCATGTTTCAATCGAAAAGAAGCATAAATGATGAAGCGACGGGTTGAGGTGCCTGTCTTTTGCTGCGCTAAGCTTTCTGAGTATCGGCAATCATGGTCACACTTCTCATCTGTTGGCTGAAGTGGGTAGCTCAAAGTAAGTGTACCAAAAGCTCTCCCGCTCAACAGAAGATGATGGATTCTCTGCGCGATGCGAGCATGTGCTCGCGGGGTATTTGACGCAGCTGAACGCCGGCAGATCCCGGAGCCGGACTCGGCGTTCCAGCACATCGACATCGACAACAACGGCGAGCTTATGGCCGCCATCAACACCAAGGGCAACTGCTACGTGTGGGCGCTGTGTGGGTGTGCGACGGTTCAGGCGGGCGCATGGGGAGGGGCTTCAGTGGTCGTGCGGTGTATCGGCACCGGTCGGCGCCCTTGGCCCCGCTCGGAGCGCTGCTGGAGAGACATGGGCCGTTTTGACGAACTCCTATTTGCCCGAAGCAGCTCCGGGGGATTATGATTAAAATTGTTTTCATGTAAGCATTGTTGCAACTTGCAGCTACTTTCCTTTAATTGGTAGGATAGTTGGGACCTAAATTATTCCCTGAAAGCTTTTACAACCCTATGCTTTGACAAAACATTTTCAGAAAAACGTCTCGGAGCGATTTACGTCGTGACCACCCGTGTAAACAGCTAGCGCCGAGGGGGAAGTCCATCGGCGCCATATGACCAACGTAGTTGGTGCGTCTCAAAACTCAAATCATCATCATGAGGGGGAAGTCTGACACATGTGGCCCGCTGGGTGTGGGGAAGCATGCGCTAATGAGGCCGGCTGGTGGTAATGATGCGCGGTATAGTCGCTCCCATGTGACGGACTGACATTGACGATTTGGAGGAGGGGGGGGGGGGGGGGGAAGGGGATGGGGTAGGCATCCACCCACCCAGCCATTCCGGCACCCATCGGCGCCGGCCAGCCGCCACTTGGGCCGCGCTGGGGACCGCGACAGATGGTCTGTCGGCGCGGTGATCACACACCTCGTCCCGTCTCCGGAGTGGTAATGGCGGCCGCAGAGAGGTCTCCCGCGGGGCGTTGCCTAATTCGTGCCGCGATGGCGACACCGGCGCCGCTGATGGTTCCGACTCGACGAGTTATGGGCTGTCGTCTCCCGGCGCGGTTCACCGGAAAGTGTCGCGGATTACCACGTAAAGGATAACGGCTGCGTGCCCCGCCGGAGGAGCCTGCCGCGCGGAACGTGGGAGTTCGCTGTGGAATCTGTGATTTGCGTGTGTTTTTGCGTAGAGTTTTTTTTATCATCGTTTGGCGAGTCAAATTGCTAGCACGGCTGTTGTGTTGCGTGTGAGACCTCGATTCTCTCCGCACACGAGACTGCTGTCGGGACGGACAGAAGCGTACGTTTTGTGGCGAGTGGCGATGGCGGCATGAGACGCGCCGGAGCGGCCCATCGTGACCCGGGAGAGTGGGACGCGCGCGTGACACGCGGCCCGGGCCGTTGCAGCGGCGGGCGAGACGGACCAGGCGCCGGTGGAGATCACTCCCAAGCGGAAGATCGAGGCGCACCGGCACTACGGCCTGAAGGCGCGCTTCTCCCCAGACGGCGAGTGAGTACCGTCGGCGGGCTGGGCTCTGGCGTACCACCACAGGGTGTGGGGAGGGGGCTGGTGTCGACGGGCTTCCTCCAGGCTCGGAGGAGTGCGGGGGGGAGCTGCGCTCGACAATGCGTCACGGGACGGAGATGGGACGCCGGGCACAGGGACGAACCGGCGCGGTCTGGTGCCGCTAAAGCTGACGGATTGACTTTCGACAGAATGCTGCTCCCGAAGTTGTGGACATTTGCTTGCGCCTGGGATGTGCTGGGCGTCGTGGGCTTGCAGCAAACGCCAACCAGTACGGTGCCTTTCTGCAATTCTTAATTCATTACGCACAACGGGTCTGTGGTGGTCAACATTAGCCCACATGTGGTAACGCACATCACGTCCATGGACTCGCTCTGAGGCTAGCAAAACATTTAAGACGAATACGGTCCCTCTCTGGTTACTGTATAGTGTCTACTCGTGTATCAGATTGATGAGATCCACCCACATTAAAACATTCAGAATCGTGACCAGTGCGTGATGTGCTGTCTACAGAGGCCCTCCCTGGTAGGGCTGCCTTTACCCAATCCATGCGCTACCCGTGGGATTGCGCCCTTACCCACCTGTTACCCATTCGTAGTTCGTTCTGCCCACTGTTTGCCCAACCACTCTGGTTTCTGCGGCACTTTGGTGCCAAATTATGAAAAATTAGGAAATTTTACACCCAAAGTCATGTTCTGCATTCATGATTGCACAAGCGAGGTGAATTACACTATTTATGACAAAATAGTGGAGGCAGTAACATCGTGTGGCCTTTTTGGAAGTCTACATCCGCAATTTTGTAAACGCCTTGAGCATAAACGCAATTTCCCAAACCTGAACCCAACTCAACCCGTCACCCATTTTAGGCGGCTGCCGGTGGGTTTCACCAACCCGTAGACTTCTGCAACGTGCCATACAAAATGCCTACGACTTCAGCCATAGGACTCAGTAATGCCACATTACTTCGCACACACACTCATCACCGTGCGAGTGAGCCATCCAAAATGTAACCCCGAACAAAATGCAACGAAATAAAAAAGCTCGCAGTCCAAAATACAACGCAGCACCAGGTTTTGCCATCGTACATTTCAGTAGCTCGCGTGGTGGGCATGTCAGCGTCCGCAGCACACCGATCTGAGAATCAGTGTTGATTATCAGAGATCAGACGTGGGTTCCGCTGAGCAGAGCGCTGCGTAGGTGAGGCCGCGCACCTTTAGTTAATTACAGTTTGCTGGAAGGATGGCCAGATAGTACTGTAATGCATATTGAGCAGCCATTTATAACGGCCTCGTTGCGATCTGTCTTCTGAGAGGATTACCCTCCCGACCCGACCCGGAACTCATTAATTTGTTAAATTGTCAAAAGTACCTTTACGCCGTCGGGAAACCCGGACTCATTTTCATAATGCGGCGGTGTTAGTGCACACAGTTTAAAGTCATGTCATCGCTCAGCAAGTAAATGGCCGGCCCAGATTGTGCCGTCATGAGCAGGGAGAATGCATGATATCATCCCACGCACCTTAATCTCACCGATCAAAGTAAAGGACATGAAAGGACGATGGTGCATACTTGTATTTCCACTTTCTCTTTGAAGGTCTTTGTGTTTTTTCACGTAGCCGGATGGCGAAGAGAAAGCACGGCGGTGTACATTCTGTTTTTCCCATTCTTCATTTACCATCGTAGGTATTTCACATTGACTGATCATAGCTTCGTGTCGAGTCAATGCGTCTAGAATCAACGCTAAAGTCATGCAGACAGCAGGCGCACGCACGTTTACGCACGACACGCCCGGAGGTCGTGGATGCACAGAGAATCTCACTCGGTGTTTCCGAGCTGAGAGTGGCCGGCTCAATGCGCGAGACAGAAACCCTGCCGACCCGGTGTCGGGACGTCACCTGGAAGCCGACTGTGCATTTGAGGATGTCTTCCGGTGGAACACCGGTAGCCAGCGTGAGCTCTGAAACGGTGTATGTGCAGCCGATGTGCGCTGTCTGGTGCTCCGCCGCCACTCGTCGCCGCTCTCGCAGAAGACAGCATGCTCTCGCAGGAGAAACTGACTCTCACAGGAGACATCCGACTCTCGTAGGAGACAGCTAACTCTCACAAGAAGCTGCTGATATTCGCAGAAGACAGCTGACTCTCACAGAAGACAGCTGACTTTCGGAGAAGGCAACTGACTCTTGCAGGAGACAGTTGACTTTCGTAGGAGTCAGCTAACTTTCTCAGGAGACAACTGATATTCCTAGGAGACAGCTGACTTTCGCAGGAGACAGCTGACTCGCTGACAACGCAGGCTTCGCGCACTAGTCACCTCGTCCTGAGCTCTGTACAAAATTCCGCTGACTGCTGAGTCTGAATCTAGCCAGGTGTATCACTCGGGTCAAAAACATGTTTAGCTTTCCGACTGCGTTTTTCGTTAAATTCCCGTCGTTTGAGTTACATTTTTGGCAGATGTCTCGAAAATTAAAACTATGTCGGTTTTCTTTAGCCGTTGCCGTGCACCAGCAAGTAACGTCTGGCAGGCGGGAGGCGGGAGCTCAAAGTGTGTCAGGGGTGCGGCGAGAGTGCCGTCAGACAGGCGCGGTCACGGGTGCGAGTAACCTGCTCGGGTTATCACCGTACACACTGGGAGATCGGAGGCGCTTGAGGAGACCGAGACAAGGCCTGCCGAAAGGATCCGATGCTTACTCAATTGCAAAGTGCGATGGCAGTTTTGTGGAAAGCGACATGGATATGTATTAAGTTGTGGAGGTTTTCGTGGTTTACAAATACGATATAGTCAGGTTTCAAGGCACTTTGTGTCGCTAATATGTCTAAATACACGAGACTTGCCTTTATACAGACAACGCAGGCGTGTGGCTCCTTCTTTTGTCCCGACACCATCGCCCGTGCGTTGACGGCGTGCTGAAACCTGCGCTTTCTCAGAGAGCAGGGCCAGGATGCTTGAAAAAAGCAGAGTTGCTTCGACAGGCTGGTATGAGCGGATGCTGCTTTCAGCCCCAATTACAGTGGTCCCAAAGGCACATATCCAGTCACAAGAATCACATTTCCTCAGGCCAAGAAGTGGGATGATAAGCTGGACTGGGAAATCCAATGCCGGTGGTTAGGTGTTCCAAGGGCCTTTAGAATATGTGTTCAAAAGTGACGAAGATTTTGTCGCTGTCTTATAATGAAGATATTGGCCTGTCACATCTTATAGGCAGCCCGCAGTGATTACTCGCTCAAAAAGTGCGGCAGCTGATTGTTTATTATGCTTGCGTCTGCGATACAAAAACTGCTGGTGAACGGAAGAACGCTGTGTGACGATGCGCTTGTTGCTATTCCATGTTGTGTGACCACCCGCTTATGCTACCACAGTGAGCGTCAGACCACAGGGGTGAGGTCAGGGCCGTCAGTAGCCGGGCGGGTGAGGTGAGAACCTTTTACCGTCGTTGGACCTGCCCACTGTCTCCACCTCTCCCCGCTTGGACCCGTCAGCGCCAATCAAGCGTCTCTTCTCGATTTCCCAGACCTTTGGTGAGATCTTTCCTGCCGTAGTCTGGCTGACAAGGAGACTGACATCGTGTGAAACATTGCCTAGTCGTTCTGGAGTAGGCGATGGCGGAGACGTGTTGCGTGGTTTGACGGGCTCAAGCTGGGAAATGGGTCTGACATGACGGCTGTGCCACTCCGGAGATAGATTTGAGCTGAGAATGGGTCTGACATGATGGTCTTGTTGCTCTGGACATATATTTGAGTTGGGAATGGGTTTGACACGGGGACGCTCGTGTCAGTCCGGTGATAGATTCGAATTGAGAGTAGGTCTGACATCTGATATCTGAATGACGTCTGACATGGCGATTGGAGCTGGGAATGGGTCTGACATGAGGACGCTCGTGTCGCTCTGGAGATAGATTCGAGCTGGGAATGGTGCTGACATGACGGTCGTATCAACCCTATCATAGATTTGAGTTGGGAATGGGTTTGATGTGAGGACGCTCATATCACTCTGATCACCTGTGGTGAAAGTCATAGCCGTTTTGCAATATGTATGCCGTAAATATGAAAACATCGTCCATTTCTCCTCCACAAAGCTTTTTTAAAAATTCGACAGCCTTATAAATATTCGACAGCTATGGTCATGCTGGTAATGTCAGCTATGAAGTTATACGATTGGTGTTCCCTGCAGAAGTGATATGAGCGTCACTAATTCCCGCAACATTTTTTTAAGGTCCTTGATACCCATACAAAATTTCCTACGGGTTCTGAATCTAGTTCGGGACTGTTTGATAAATAAACCCTGATGGATGCGTGGGCCTGATGATGCATATTGGTGGCTGCCGGATGTCAAGATGCCCCATGACACCAGTGCTAACTGGGGGCGGGGCGCTCTCTCGTCTCCGACTGTGAATCGTCACGCGCATGCGCACCGTAAGCTGGTCGGCATATGTGAGAGCACTGTGCCCGTCCCCCAGCCGCCTCACTCACAGCGCCATTCCTCACGACTGCGCTCCGCGTCTGTCTGCGGTCGTCTGGCCGGTCTCTTCGCGGCCGATGCCGTTCAGAAGCTCCGCTCGCGCCGTCCCTGTCTCAGGACATGATATCAGCTGATGTCTGTCTCTCGGCTCGGACACGGGGGCGAGACGGTATCGTATATATCGCGTATATCAGTTGAGCGTGTCCCGCCTGCCCTCGGCACCAGACGTCATACGCGGAACATTTATCACCGGGGAGATCTTGAATCACAGCAACGTGTCAGACGTTTATTGGCTGGCATATGTTCAGTGATAAGTGTCAAGCATATTGCGCGGGCATTAGTGTTCCGTCCTTCCGGGTACGCTCGCAGAAAGCGGCGGTGTGTGCTAGACCGTGACGCGTCGAGTGATGAGGTTCGCTGGGAATCAGTCCTACAGGCTCAGAGTGGACGAAGGCGGGTCGTCTGCGAATGATTATCAACGGCTCCGATTTGTTGGGTGATATTTGACCGTACTCAAGATTACCATGTCCTGGA